ATATATATGTTTATATTTTTATATGTATGTGTGCTAAGAGTGAGTGCTAGAATGGAATGCAGAAAGCAATGAATGCTGCTGTAGCCACTAAGCTTTATTAGCGATGAGACTATGCTCGTCGTTCACTTTCAACACTCAATGGACATGTTTCCGACTTTATTCAGCAAATCCTTCACTATCCCAATACTTCGCTGTTTTTCATTCCATTTTACAACTGCGAAAATTTTCGAATTGTTTTTGAGAACGAGAAATGGGAATAAATTTTTCTTGAACGGAAGACTTTTTTATTTGAGCGCATGAGGACCGGGAATTATAGTAAATATTGTCGGAACTTTGGTGTGTTCTTTCAAATGAGATGTCTTAGTAAATTATACAATTACGAAAGTCTTCAAATATAACATCGCCTAAAAGATGACAGGATTGCCACCGAATAACTCCCTTTTTGAATCCTTTTACAATGAACACGAAATTTAAGTGTTACGAAAATTGACTGATGACCTCGCAATCAGCTGATATCTTCGCTGAACACTGCTGAATAACTTGAGGGAGTTGCGCGTCGGAATTTTAAATTTGTGATGTGAACTCTATAGGATTTGTTGTGTGGTGAATGGACTGTATGCTAATATCGTGCACGAGTTGACCTTGCACAAGGGTTATTTCAACAATTCCGTAGAACTCACTTATTATTAGATACTTTCATTATCATTCGTAATCATCAATGATGAAGCTGTCGGTTGCAATGAATAATATTTTTCTCATTCGAATGTATGACGCTTAAATTGGGAATTTGTTGCGGTGTTTGATTAAAGTTTCTTTTACACTAACCTAGATTGTATTCATCTTGGTGGTTCTCTCTTTTTTTCGCTTGCAGTGATCTTCATTATGATCGTTCAGTTCTTCAAAATGATCCTTTATTTAACTATTTATCAAGTTCACATTGCTCTCAGCTCATTTGGTGAGTGCTTTCAAAATTCTTTAAATCAAACAAATTACAACGAAACAGAAATCGCTCATAGTGTTTCAATTGCACAGAGAATGCGAACGCGCCTGCCTGCGTGTTTTGTCTAACGTGCAAGCGTATTGAATGTACATGGTACCTACCTACCGCGTAATCGTAAATGAATAGTGCACCTCGTCAGCAAGTAGAAAGATGATTATTGTTAGCACCAAACTTGGCAGAGACGAATTTAGACGGTCATCATGAACGATCATTCAAACGCCATGCATCTATGTTTATAATCACTGGCGAATAAGGGTCTGCTGCCTCTAGCAATAATTTCGAAACGAAACGTAACGGAGTGGCAAAGCTCCTCTCGACACATAACCAGATGAGAGATCTCCTTTCCCCCACCACCACCTCCCTTTCTCAAATACCCATAAGAGGGGAAATGGCGATGCTCCTCTCTAAAGGCTGCACCTTTAGAAATATCTGAAACTGCAGCAGTACGGGAAAAGTATCGTTATTTGTCGAAACAATCGATACAAGTTGAAAGGTCCGTTTCAGTCGAACGAGACGATATGCAGAATTATTACGAGCCATTCTCATCTCGTCTTGTTGTTTCTTGTCTCATCTCAATATCTCTCGTTAAAACCAAAAATGTGCCGACATCTTACTTAAACGGCAAGTTTGTAAGACTTTCATTGTTTTATGCATCTCTTGGGTGGTCTTGTTTTGCATCTCAAGTCGATGGTGAAATAAGAATCCATGCCGATCACCACTGATTCGAGTTGCTAATCTGGAAATTTGCAATATCCAATGGGATAAATGCTACTCGTAACTATTTTTACATAGCGAAATTTTGATTTCAATGTGTCTTTGCCTAAAGACACATTGGAATTTTAAACAATAATTTCTGCTTTAATAATTTTTTAGCAGTATGAAATAGCGATAACTTGTGCTCGTTTGCTTTGTTAGCTTTTTAGAGAGTTACTTTTGTTTACAAGGGAAGGCTTATTTTTTCCAATATCAAGATATTCATATTACGTGTTTACGATACCCGGACAATCTGTCTAAAGACGTTTTGCCTAAGGACTGTTTGCCTAAAAACACATTGCCTAACGGACAGTTTGCCCGAATGCACTTTCGAGGTCCCGACTGCGAAATTGCATTGCTTGCGTGACGTCATTTTGATATTATTTTTCAACATCGTTCGTCTTTAAACATCAATTTAAGCCCAGTTAACTTATGGCCCGTCAAAAGGGGAACGTAGGACTTGGAAAAAATGGAAAACGGGGTCGTCCAAGGAAAGTTGTTGCGGTAGCTGATGGGAATGGTGTTGAAAGGAATACCGAAGCATTGCAAAAGGTTTCCAGATTTTCCATATTCATTACGTTGTTTCACTTATATAGAATTGATTGCTAATGCAACTCCCACTGGACTATACTTAACTTAACTATTGAACTATGGTGTTTAGGTATCGTTAAAAGTAATCGTAATGATTGGAAAAAATACACAACCTTTAGCATGTTGCCAAGTGGATACCATAGTTCAGTTCTAGTGTGTGTGCGTTTGCAAACTCATTAGAAGTTGTAGTTATATGACCAAATGGTCAGTGCACAGCAAACTGCATTGTACAATCCAGAGTGCTGTTCCATATTTGGACGGGTTCCTTTCAGAACTGCGTTCTCCAAGCTTATCTAATGCGCATTTTGCTCATTGTCACTTATATACCACTAGAAAATGGCATGCTCAAAATGTAGGCAACATTGGTTCTAGGCAGCAAAAACGATAATAAAAGTAAAAGGTAAAAGAGGAAGACCGGTTGGCTCAACGAAAAAAGGCAAAAAGAGGGGTCGCCCACCGAAAGCGTTAGTATTTTACACATACTTACCCTTGAATAGAACGCCATCTTTTTTGGTGGGAATGCATATATCTGTCCCTCTGCCATCAGTATATCCCCACTAAAAATTTATCGCATTCATATACTCAGTCATATACAAAACCATGATTTTCTGTCAAAAATATCCTTGCAATTGTTCATCGAGTTCATTTGAACGATCTTAGGTAATGTTCAATTGTTTCATCAGCCATTATAGAAACACACCGTTTCGTGACTGGCTATTTTGTAGCCCATTCAACTGATCATTGCAACAAAATTCTGGTACTTCGGGCGACGTTTTAGACTCATATGGGTAAGCAGGCTCAATCGGATGCAGTTTAGTCTCATTCCATTCAGGTAAAGTCTGGTTTAGGTAATGCTTAATTGCATTCGTGTGAGCCTGTTTACTCGGACAAGTTTCAGGTGTTCACAGTTACTCATCATTGATCTTGCTAGAGATTCCTAAAGAAATCAATAGCGTTCAGGGAAACGTTTTTGAAGTGTTCACACCTTTACAACCAAACTGAAATATTTTTGATAGATTACGGTCCTTATAAATAATCGTAATATCTGTGCTTGTTCATTTGGTTTTTTACTGTTTCTAATCGCAAGTTTGAAAATCTTTTCCTTCATGAATCCTCCCTCGTTTCAATTTCTCGCTCATGAGTCGTTCAGTAGGAATGACCGTATCTTTGACCTTAGAGCGAATAAGAATGCGAAAAACGATAATGAACACAAGCATGACTTGAGTGACAACAATGTTGAGAACCGAGCAGATATGGAAACTCATCAGGTATCTCTTTGGCTTTTCTAAACTTCTGTTTGTTATTTGCATTTCATTGACATGCCATATGAAAATGACACCATACTGCTGCCCCACAAAAATGATCATGAATCATGGATATCCATAATCACCGTCAGTTTTCGCGAAAAAGCTGCTCATTTTCAATGAGCTTTCAATAACGAAGAAAGTTTTTCTAAGATTCTAAAAGTTTTCAGCATAATGTTGATGAACGTGAGGTTGGTGATGATGAGGATGATAATGAAAGATCAGCTGAGTCAGACTAGAGACCGACTGCGCCTTCATTATAATTTTCTGTTGTGAATGTTGAATTGATTCTGTGTGTGTGTACTTTTGATGAATTTCTTGAGCCATTCCATTCGTTGATTCGAATATATAATAAGTGTTTGAATTTGAAGTCGCGTTGTATCGATTAAAAAGAACCGAAACAAATGATACGCATGGTTCCGACCAGTGACGTAGCTAGGATTTCTTCCGGAGGGGGGGGAAGGGGGAGGGAAGGGCTTAAAATGGTTTGATCCAGTATTTAGAGTCTGGGCCAAACCCCTTCGTATGTGCATCCACGAACACCACTGGGGGGGGGGAGGGGTCCCCCGCTTCCAGAAATGTCTTCGCACTCGCGAAGCCTTCGCGGGGAATCCCTCCCCCCGGTGGTCCCCGTAAAACGCATGCGAGTAAAATAACAGTAATTAGCGGTTGTAACTCACAATTCATTTATTGATCATAGCAAACGTTGCACGTATATGTTATAATCAAATTTTCGGATCCGAAAAATTTTTTTCAGCTCCTCCAAGAAAACATCATAACAACACTGCATGATAACTGTTCTGCACAGGTAAAACCTGCATGATAAATTTTCTCCTAATTCAGATTGCTCCTGAGATGTAGCGGGAAAAAACCAATTTTGAAGCTAGAGCCGAAGCCGAAACATTGAAAAACGCGGATGTAAGAGTCTTTTGTTTTCGCCAAATAAGTTCGTTATTTTTGCATGCTGTATTGACAAAACATCCTGTACTATTTGATTTTGTCATGTACAGTCGATAACACTCGTAAAAGATCTCCGTACTAAATGTATTTTTTAATGTTGTATTTTAACCATCATCTTATGCTATCATTTTCAAGTATTTTTCCAATAAAGCTGCTTTTTTTTTCTTTTTACAGCTGTTTATATACAAGCGAGCAAAGTAATTACATGCGAAAGTGTTTTTTAGAATGCAAACTTCACCGAATCATTTATAATACAAACACAGATTGCGTTAACAGTAACGAAGACAAAAAAGTGGACAATATAATGCTAATTTGATCAATTTTTTATGTTGCGGCTGGCATTGTTGTTGAAATGTTTACCATTAATTTCGGAAAGAATAAATTGTGAGGCAGCTCTCCTTCGAATGGAAATGCTCAAATTCGGATGTCGAAAGTGTATGTCTTTTCGATTAGTCCCCATGGTACGGTCTCATCGCAACTGATTCATTTACAACGAATAGAGCACTAACCAGTCTTTTACAGGCCAATAATCCGAGGTTGACAATTTGCATTTTGAAAAGAAATATTAATCGCATTTCATGAGAACATGGGATCATTATTGAAAAATTTATCGAAATAGCGGGAAATAGAAGCAAATGTCGGTCTACGCGTTGGTTCCTGAAACGAAATGACTCTAATGATAATACGCTGTTCAAAAACGGAATATGGGCAAGGTAAAGTGTTTGCAAAACAAACTTCTTCACCGAAAATTAGCACACTGAATCATTCAGTTACATAAAAACCAACCTGATTCCAACATTCCAACATAATATCATCATAAATTCGCTGAGGACAATCAGCTGGTTTGGGCAGTCGATATCCACTTTCAACTTTTGCAATCACTTCTTTAGTGTCAAAATCTGTGTGGATCAATATGATTTATCACGCCGATCGAAACGGATCATTTTCAGTCCAAAAATACACATTAACTCTTCGCAAAAGATAGTACGTTGGCTAGAGTTGTGATGGTTTGAAGAAAAAGAAAATCCAGAAACAAATTTTCTTTGTTGAACAAATAACTAGACTTCTCAGCAAATAACTAGAGTTCTCAGTGACTCTGTTCTGAGCGTTTCTGAAGGCAAACTGACCAACCGGAATATGGTGATCCTCCGTGACTGGTAACTTCAAAAATGAGCACTCCATATGACCAAACATCCGATTTGATTGTGAAATTGCCCATCCTTGCTGCTTCTGGTGCAGTCCACTTAACTGGAAACATTGTGGCCACCCTTGCTTCATAAACATAATCTTCTCTCAGCCAACGAGCCAAACCAAAGTCGGCAATCTCAATGAAAATTACTGATTGTTCAAAAAGCATGAATATATTTGAATGGAATATGTCGTTTCCCTTTGAAGATGTTGTCGGACCGTTATTTTTTGAATTAGTTTATCATCTAGTGATTATTAATTCAGTAAAACTGTTGTTAAAAGAATGCTTATTTCATAACAGCGATTCATAATCAGACATTTTGAATTTTTTTTGCTAACTGAATTTTTCTGCTAAAAATATTTCAAGAGAATACTTTTACAATAAGTGAGCCATTGAAAAAATCGCCCACAAGAACATTCCGAGCTGCTAAGTCACGATGAACAAGTTTTTTTGATTCGAGGTAAGTCATTCCACTTGCAACCTAAAGTATTAATTCAATCATAAATTGATTGCTTCAAGGTTTTGAGTAATTATTTGGCAGTTACCTTTCGCAGTGTTATATTTTGTAGCACTGAACTCAATTCAATATCTACCTCGTTTCAGAAGAGTTCATCGATATGAATAAATTATACCTGAGCGCACATATCGAGTAATGCCGTGTTGCTAAGGTTTCTGCCACCGTTTTGAAGATAATTAAGAAGAGATCCATTAACCATATATTCAGTAACAATATAAAAGGGCTCTTCTTTGGTGCACACCGCATACAATTTGACCAGATTCAGGTGATCAAATTTCTTCATTATCGTTGCTTCACTGTAGCATGTTGCTCTCTTTTAATCAACCACCATCAATATGGAACAAATTGAGATTTCTGCATCAAACTCATAATTTTCAACGTAAAACTAACTCATTATGTTGTAGATTAAACAAACAAGTGATTTCTCTTTGTTTGGACAGTCTCAATAAAAACATATGTTATAGAGAGAGGACTCACGCAAGAAATTCAGTAGCTAGCATACTGCCAGGCTTCATAGTTTTGACTGCCACTTCGATTATATCTCGCCAGTAGCCATGCCAAACTTGGCCAAAGTTACCAGAGCCAATCATTTTCTCTAGTCGAATTTGTTCTTTTGGAATCTCCCAATTCTACAATTATGAACATTCAAACGGTTATTTTGAGCGTTCAGTGAGACAAAGTTTCAAAAAGAATCTGAAATTCAGCACTTTAAAAAACGCAATACCAACGAAATTATAGGCAAAGAAACATCAATATTATGATCATGAAGATGAAGATTTCACTCACAACCGCTTTCGAAATATCAATTTCAGTTGATCGTTAGCAAATAAATTTATTCGGATTGCAGTTTTCGCATTAAAATGAAATGACAAAACTGAAAGCTCACATCTCTTGTTAAATGTGAAAGTTCTGGTCGTGTGGGAGCGATACGAGGTACCGCCGACGTCAACTGACAGCATAACCCATCAGCTTGTGCTTAAATGTTTTCTCTTATGTAATGAATAAATTATGCAGTTATTATATGAAATGAATTACGCGCTGAGAAGACTCCTATTCTAGTAAGGCAAAGGATTGACAAAAAAACTCATTTTGAAATGAAAACATCCTTGAATTGAGCATAAATTTTAAACTATGACATGATCGTCTTTTTCCAGCTCTTTCGACTAAGTTTAATCAGTAGTTTTCGATCATGCGCTGAAAAACGTAAATTTAAGTAGAATTATGCTCTGAATAGAATGAACAACAGAATTGCTGGATAGTCGGATTGCACATCGCTTTGATTTTTATACATTTATGCTTGATTTCTTGGACACTGTCAGTTGAATATCATCAACACAACATGAACGTTAACTGATTGATTTCAGTTGAATTTTTACTTTCGTAATGAATGACCAAATGACGAAGAGATTCGAACATTCTGCTAGGCGTTATGTAGAAACGACCATCACGGTTTCTGAAAGTGGCAGTTTCGATTCACTTTCAATGAACTTATTCTCAGTTGTTTCAGAAAATGCGTTGCAAATTAAGAGCAATATTAGTTCGAAGAATATACCCAAGAAATACTTGAGTAATGCGAACTGAGATGTAACTATAAGCAACAGACAGCATCGACGTTTTATTTCGAAGATATATGAAATTACTTCAGGATTTATCGCAATTCGAACAGCGAACACAAAAACCTACCGCTTGATTTTATAATGTTTTGCGGATGCTTTTCCTTGCTCATCAATGTCGCGTACGGTAAGAGCAAATTCACTTGGGTTGAGTTCGCGTTCTCGAATCAAAAAAGCACCTTTTGGCAGATGACTAACGGTGACTGCATTAGTAGCTCGATTGCGTGGCATTCGTCCAGCATACCATCTTAAAAGTTATTCATGCCTAAGATATTTGAATGCTGTTCCAGAAGGTCTCATTATTCCGGTCAAATTTTATTTCTAATACTAATAGCAGCAATTGCTGCACAAATACACTTTATTGCGAAACATATAAGACATGTTTAAGCTCTTTGAAAATGCAAATATTGGGGTGCATTGTTGTCTCGCAAAGACAGAAGAATGATTGTTGTTGAAATTGAGATCACTTTATTTTCTGTTTATTTTTCAAATTCCTCTAGCAACAACATTCAAATTCGACAAAGATTTTAGACCGTCTCGGAATCGAATGCACGCTCTTTAAGCTCATCGGATCCTCAAAGCACAATATGAGCCAAATATACCACCGGCCTTTGCAAGCTCCGTACTGTCTTATCTCAGTTCAGCTCATCTATTTGTGCCTACTTTTGGCGCTATCTTGGACAACTGTTGAATAAGATTCGCTTATTCAGAATGAAGACGCAAGAAGGAGGAGAATCGTCAGATGGTTCCGCCTTGAGACGAAGAATGATCGTTACAACTTGTAAGAAAATCCTTGATGAGAAACATAACTATCTGTTTATGGCATCTAAGACGTAAAGTACAGAATAGATTTTTCTCGAACGACTGAGAATCTCGAAGCGAATTGCTGAGGATATTTAGTATTTTGAGACATAGATGAATAATCCTTCAGATCACTTAACAATAACTTGTTTCCCTCGATTTATTGCTTTTTTTTGAAATGAAATTATTCAGCTTACTCTTCACTTTCATCATCCACCAATTTAGCGACATAATTTCGAGGAACGTACCCATGTTCACCGTTTTTACGTTTCTTCACTAACCACCAATCTGGAATACTGAAAAGAATCTCTTTCGCATCTAAAAAGTGAACACGTGCGTTCTAAGAATACTTCAAACTTTTCTTAAATCTCACTGATATGGCTGCAGCAAGAGAACGACTGCAAAAATGAATAATTCAATAATTTTTCGAGCATATTCAACGCTATTTGAGCAACGTAAAACGAACCTCCGATCAAGTAATGTCATCTGATCACCCTTTTGGAAACTCAGCTCATTTTCCGTTCTTGACTCATAGTCATAAAGTGCTATTAGCACGGCTTTATTGGTGTCACGGGCATCTGAAATCATTCAACAACGAAACTGTCGACTGTCGCAGCATATCGTAATTTTTAAGACTATTTATTGACATCAATGAAGTGAAGAGATTAATTGAAAGTGTTAAAAGTAATAAGAAAATTACCTTTGATGTTGCGATCTTAGGATGCGCAGTGCTGCCCATCCTAAGCTCGTGACATCAAAGGTAATTTTCGTATTACTTTCAATTCTTTCAACTGAACTTCAAAATGCGCATATCCTCAATCATTTACAATTATATTCATCGTGAAGAGATTAGTTATAAATTCTCAGTTATCACATTATTTGTATTATCTAGAAACAGAGCTGAATGGTTACTGAACTGAGAGTATGTTCCAAGCGAAAGAATATGATTTTTGATAGATAACTTTTCATGGACCAAATGGTATTCATCAATTTCATATACGCGATTAAGTGTAATGAACACCTGTATTCGGCGATCTCGAAGTGCTGTTTTTATCGTATGATGAGAAGGATGCTGATCGTGATATATGAGAATTTCTATTGCCCATTTTGCTTGAATAAAACATATAGTAATTATATAAGAAAGAAGAGTATTCTCATTGAAATATCACAGACATGTGTTCGGATACAGTGCATTGAACGCACCTATATTCGAATGATTTTCGTTGTAAAATAAGTAAACAAGGAACCATTAGCGAAAATGCAGTGGTCGATACAAAAAATAAAGTTATGCGATGCTATCTGGCAAAGGTATCAGCATTAACATATAAGGCTTAACAATGATAAGAACTGATTATAATTATGCGACACAATCGGTAAAATAAACAATTTTCAATGTTGAACAATTCAACTACAAAGTCAAAAATTCAAAAGAACAACAGATAAGCAGAAACATTCCCTATTAATGACTGGAGATAGGAAGCATTTAGTGATGGTGGATGCAGTGACATTCTCAAATGATAATGCTTCATATTACATGTTTTACAGTTGAGTGTTATTGAGAGAAATATTTTTATTTTCTTTCCTGTGACGCTTTTGGTGCTTATTTAGCCTTCTTTCCATGCATGTCTGCTAACAGAACGTTTTTGATAAGATAAATAAAATTAATATTAATTCTGTCAATAAGTGCAACGACAGAACTAACATTAATTTTATTTCATGGATTTTTGTGGTGCGCTTTGATCAACGATTCTGTTATCATACTTGTTCTTAACCTATTTTTACATACAATTAATGGCTTAAATGTATCTAGCTGATAACTTGCGCGCTTCTAAATTCCAAGAAAAATATGCACAAACTATTTTATGAATTTATTTCACGTGAATCGGAGGGGGAAGTTTCCTCTAGAAATTTACACAACTTCAGGAAACGGATACCGAAAGATATGTTGAAATTTCGACTCTCACGAAATTATGATTACTGTGCTTTGCTCGAACCGATGGGTGATAAATTTAGCAAAGTTGCCGCCATAACACAAATTCTATGCTGATCAGATTCCTATTTTTGGCATGATGGTGAATACTATAGACGTAGAAATTCACTAGACAACGATCATTCTAGCTGTACCGAATGAAGTATTTTTGCAGTAAATGATCATTAGTGATGGTTACTTTATACGCACAACCAACCTAGATGGTCAAAAGACCACACTATAGTTATATGATATTCACTCAATCGAATCGCTTCAAAGTTTCAATCAGTGAGCGTTTAACTAGTGTTTGCCGATGGCCTTTGATAACTTCGAAACGCAGAAAATAATCAAAGAATATTCATTCGAAGCACTAAAATGTGAACGAAGCTGAATGAGTGATTGAAAAAAAGAGCCAAAAACGTATTAAATTAATACGGCGAACCAATCGGATATAATAATTTTCAAAACAGTAGTGGGGATATTGATGAAATACACCACTGTAGATGCAGTTCATAAAGCGAATGTTTGGAATAAAACGCATACATCTCTATGTAACAATCGCCTTATCAAACTTGGACGATATGTGCAAAGTAAATTCATAAAGAAGAAAACACTACCAATTCATTTGCAAGTGATAAGTGATTCTCGTCATGTATCGTTCAATCAAACGATCACTGCATTCCTTCAACATATATCATTTAGTGAACTTTGATTCACCTTGATTCTTGATTCTTATTCGACCATGATAACAGTGTTGTGACGCTTTGGGATCACTGACTGACGCTATGAAAACCTGAGCGATACAATTAACGAAGAGGAACACGGATTGATGACTTCCATAGCAAAAAATATCACGAACAATTTCAGTGAAACGATATCGACGTAGTTCAGCATAGTACAGTTCATATCGATTCCGTTCAAGATGTTGATTGCACTGTGGTGTGGGGATGGAAACGAAGTTGGGGACGGGGAAAATCGGGGGCGAAATTTTGCATTTGGGGATCGCGAAAATATCCGCGGCTCGAAAAAGGTCGGGCACGAGGGAATAACTCAATTTTGTCTCTGTCTCTGATCCACGAAAATGTAATTTTGGAATTTGAGTCAGCAGGACCTTGAGAACATGATTTTTTGATGGAAAAGCATCGAAATAAGTAATTTTCAGGCTGGGAAAGCGATAACTGCGAAGCTACAATGCAATTCTATCCACAGTATTTTATTCAACCACATGAGAAAATAGAGTACAACAACAGAACTTCTTTGATAAAAACAAAGCAGAATACACACGCTCTACTCGTGCAGGAGAGTACAGCTTTCTATTATATTGATCTGTGCGGGCATATTATGTGTCACTGTGCAGCTCCGAAATATCTTCAAGTTCGATTAAGATCGCAAGTTGGTTTTTGTGGAACATCACTGAATCATTGGTCTGTGAATTGCAGCAATATTGAGGTGATCGGAGGGTTGGCTAAATAAAAGTTTTAATATTCATCGTTAGAAGACACGCCTTTGTGAAAACATTCATCTGCCTGATATCTTCTCTCGTATTTATTTTCACGAGTCCAATGTAAAAAAATTAAGATGACGATAAGACAAAACAAAATAAACATTACCGGATGTGATGCTTCTTCGATTACAATTAATACAAAAACGGCTTGTAGTGAATTCAGCCGATCGACGGCTTTTGCATATTTACATTCATGAAGAGATGAGAAATTTCTTAATGGGATAACACTTCCTTTATCCTACTCATTTGCACGTGTGCATTGCGAAAGATTTCTTTGCGTGATATCAGCTAATAAATAATATCATTTTGAATCAAATGTTACAACTAGGGTTTGCATGGGATCCCGAATCCTGATTTTTGAATCCCGATCCCGGGATTCGTGGTGTTATTGCAATTTTTATGATTCATTTCCGGGATTCATACCACAAGTCATTTTGCATAAATTTGGTAGCATATCCATCATGAATGAAGCATAAATCTCGGTTAAAACCCTAGTCACAACGCTATCCCATGTAAATCTTTCATCATCGCATCCTTCATTAGTGACTAGACTCCTGTACGTTATTACAATTTTTATGTCTCATCACTCACCATTTACAACTGACATCCTCCAACTCCACCATATAGGAAAAAAATTCAACTTTCGAGAAGAATCAGGAAATTCCATGAAGTTTTCAGAGAACGCCGACAATTCTGAAAAAATCGGGAACGAAACTTTCCAGCCGGAGACCTCGGAAACGTTCGTGGCTGGAAAAAAATCGGAGACGGGGACCCCGAAATTCTCCGATGTTCGCACTCCACTAGTTGATTTTATCAAGAATGGCAACTAATCATAAAGGTGTAATCAATCACTGTTGAATGAGAATGGCTATCACAAGTCAGCTATATCATCTTCTTCACGAACGCTTCTAATCCACGTCGAATGTGACTGTAAAAATGAAAAAGAAAAGCATTCGGCAATAAGATCAGTACTTTTCATTTATGAACATATCAAAGCAATTAACTGAGATAATGTTTTCGAGTAATGATTCACAGCATCGGCAATAAATAACACAATACGTTATTAACAAATAAACACTCGCCTGACATGAGACGAATGAATTTAAAACACAAAACACCTATAATGTTTCATAACAAACATTATCAGTACTATACACAAACTGATTTGAATGAATAACGTAAAGTGCACAACTTAAACTACATAAAAGTACACAACGCTTGCTCCTGCAAAAATTACTTCTTGAGTTCGTGAACAATGTCTTTTATTGCAATCTGCCAGGTAATTTCTACGATTAGCATCTTAATTTTTTAAAATTCGAATAAAACAAATGAAGTTCAATTTGGAAGCGTATCACTACTCGATGGATGGTACCACTAATAAATTGCAAGCTCAAACTTGAACTTGCACATAAAAGGCAAAAATTGCCTATAAACGTGCATTAATTGACACCACAAATAAGTTTAGGTGTTTGCTGCAACCCAATAATATGATTCTAAGAAAATTTGCAATTTTTTTCAAGGAGAAAATATAAGTTCTCAATATGGATACTCTCATTTCAAAACAGGAAGCATTCACAACTTGTGGATTTTCTTACGACAATAAGACATCTCAACAGTCATAAAAATTGACTGAATACTTAATACCACAAAAAAGTACATATCTACTCTCACTAGTGTTACCTTTCGTACGTTCAGCATGAAAAACAGTCCCTAGAAGTGTCCTTCCAACTCTGTTGCATCCCCACATCCCATACGCGTCAAAATCAAAACATGCATTTGCATCGCTAATCAATAACAATTATCGTGCGAACAACCGAGCGATAATGAATAGAATAAAGTGGGAATAATAGGCAACAATGAAACAATCTTCTAGTAGGCAGTATCAGTCCAAATAAACAAATTACAACACTCACTAAAAGCACATCCTCACGATGATCAAACGAGACGAGTATGCGAGAATGAAATGAGTAAAAAAATGATAAAATAAGAGCTTCAAACGATCATCGATCAAGCATATATGAACCGTTCACATCAATATCATGAACAACAATTTTCAAAATATGCAACTTATAAACGATAAAACAAAATGGAATGAAAATAAACTTCTTATGAACAACATTAAGGTATCATTAATTCAAACGGATGGAATAGACGGATGAAAGCGATTAATGCAACGCAGCGATTGATGGATCATAAGTACAAAAATGAGCATAATCAATATTTCAAGCAAAAATGATTGTGATCAATGGAACCAAAATTTTCATTTTCGGAGCATTCAACGTGCGCTGATAATCAGTTTGCTGTCACAAGATAATCAACTGTACATGGCTCTTTTCTGTGAATATAATGTAGAAAATGAAACGAAATGATGCACAGAAGAAAATTATAAAAACGACATTGCTGATACGCAAACTTGTTGAAAGGCAGATATTCGGAATTCAAAAAAATCACAAACAAAGATAAATTTTGACAAACCGAGGAAAATGTAAACTTTAAAATGCGATCAAAATGATACATGGGAAGCAAATAAAGGTAACTGAATGAAATTCAAAAGAATTTTTTTCTGAATTTTAGTATTCAACAATTCCTCAAAGGTTTTGCGCATTGAAATGATAAAAATTATTTGCGTGGATGGAAAAAGCAAAAATATATATAGACGCAATAAGTTTGGAAGAAGAAGAACAATATTAGTAAGAAGAGGTAACCAAATATCATAATAAGAATGACAGATGAAGAGATGCAATCGGCGATGATGTCAAAAACTTGCTTAATTGAATAATGATTATCTGAAATATAATTGACAGTGATGAACATAAATCATAACAATGAATTGACAATATCAGCGTTAATAAAGCATTCAAGAATAATACAAGTATCATACATGCAAATTTCATACGTACCCAAAATCAGTGATGAATGCCTTCAATTTTGGGATGGTGGAACGTAATTGGGTTGCGAGCTGACGAAATAATCATCGAAGAAGTGGAACAAATGATCAAACGTCGGCCTTCGCTCTGGTATCTGAACATGGTTCCATTACAATTGTTAAAAGAAAGTTCCATAATTCAGTTGAGCAACCGACTAACATTACAATAAATAAACCAAAAAGAAGCATTAGCGACTTCAGATTAGTTGGATCATTACAAAAGACCACGTATATCGACAATTTTCACTTTCAATTTGACGGTTTTAATGAACAATATCATCTAGAAAAGGATTACACGAATGAGTTAAGAGTAGACTAGACACACTTGAAATAGTTGCATTGCATTCCTAAACTCGAACCAATCACAACATCAGTATTTTATGTTTGAATTTTTACTGGATAAAATGAAACGAATAATTATTGAGAAGAGCAAAATAAAAAGAAACGTATGAAATAACCTTGTCCCAACATTTGAGCATCACCTCTGAATAGATTTGTTCTGGACAACAACGAGGCATCGGCATTCGATAACCTAACTCCACTTGCTCTATTACTTCACGATTATGCATGCCTAAAAATATACATCATCTTCAGGAATTTGAAGATTCCGGTTTACATCACGAAACTCCCTTCTTTTGCATGGAGATGTCTTCCTAAGAAGGATCGCTTTCGGTGAGTGTTCACTGGGGGAGGTCTTCTGAGATACCGATTCTCATTGGAATTCGAACCAAAATACTAGTGAAACAATGTCAGTCGTTAGAGCTACGGCATCCATCGTACAAAATCCAACAATTTGGTAAAATCAAATGATGATGACAGTATGTAGCCACAAAAGTATTTTATGAAATGGATCTTTATGATGAGCATGAAAGTGTTAAATAGCGAATTTATTATTAACTACAACACTGACAGTGAACAACAACAAACAATTCACACCTGGATATGGTACTTGACCCTTAGTGATGATTTCATAAAGAAGGACACCGTACGACCAAACATCTGATTTAACTGTAAAATTGCCGCAAGTTGCCGCTTCTGGTGCAGTCCATTTGATTGGAAATTTAGCGCCTGTTCTCGCTTCATAAATGTCTTCTTCCATTAATTTACGTGCCAAACCGAAATCAGCCACCTGAATGCGAAAAAAATGACCGAATGTTTTGCATGGCTAATCATTAGTGTGTGACATCATTACAAGACACACCTTCAAAAATTTAGCGAGAATTTGTTAAATGAAGCAGTTGAAGTTGTGAAAATATTGGAATAAAGAAAACAGAAGTGGGACCTTGACGACAGGCACACCAGAAATCTTATCACCAACGAGAACATTACGAGCCGCAAGATCACGATGCACCAATTTTCTTTCTTCTAAATACATCATTCCATTCGCTATCTTAAAACAGTTTATTGTTTTTATACCAAACAACGATGAAATTCAGAACATTGATTGCAAAATTGCAAAAATTATCATATTCAAGTCATTTACTTTCATTTTGGTTCTACAACACGATCAGAACGAAACAAATCATTCACTTCAGCAATAATTCAGCGATAATAACGAGTTCAATTCCAATTACATCAACCTATCACAACATTTTATAAACAGCATTGTTCACTAATGTGTCAGTGGTGGATAATGTGTTAAGTACAGTAAACAGGACATATCAACTCCGAAAAACGATCGGGAAATGTGATAACCACTCGTTCAGGTCAGTTGCTTTTTTTGAGGTCTGGAGATTAGCGCAATTCGGAATTGATATTCTCGACAATTTTATGAAAATTAAATGATGTAATATGAGTTTGAGCGAAATTTTTGGAAAAAGAAAGCACACACCTGAGCACACATATCCACAAGTGCTTGCAAAGTGAGGGAATTGCCTTCATTTCTCAAATAATGCAATAAAGAACCATTAATCATATATTCCGTTATTATATAGAATGGTTCTTCCTTCGTACAGACAGCATACAATTTGACCAAATTCGGATGATCACACTGTTTCATTATTTGTGCCTCACTTAAAATATTATTCGCATTTAATATTCATTTAATCAATTACAACCAATAATGGTTTTGTAACATTATGTCAAGTTTTCATACCACACCTAACTTCGAACAATTGCAATGTTAATGAAGATGATAAGCAATATCAGGATGCTACTAAGCAAATATACTGCGAAAGGATACCAACCCAAGGAAGGCCTCTGGAGACATTGTGCCTGGTTTCATTGTTTTAATCGCTACTTCGACCATACCTCGCCATTTGCCATACCAAACATCACCAAAATTGCCATCACCTAACTTGCGTTTCAGCTGCAGCTGATTTCTTGGAATTTCCCAATTCTAAACGGCATACCCTCTATTAAGAGATTCAATAACGAACAATTCATACGACATTAGATCAAAAAAAAACTCTATATAGAATAAAAACAAACAACAGTTTCAACTGACAATTTCGCTGTTCTCGAAAGAAACGTGAACAAGAATGCATGACTTTATTTAACATTTCTGCTACCATGGGAATAGCAATCTTGTTGAAATTTAATCATGTTTTATGATTAAATTCTCTTAACTGAATGATTAAATTTCATCTATCGCTGACGATGCTTTCGCAGGACTCATTTTGTTTGGTTTTTCCGTTCGAATTTCGAAGAAGAGAAACGAAATTTGCGCATGCAAAAAGCGAAAACTGAGCTTTCTATAAGGCAGTTCCACAAAAGAATACGAAGGTTTTCTACAAAAATATCAAAGTTACAGACAGTTTTAAAAAAAGTCAACTGCATATGCAGCGGATTATTCTTCACTGGAAAACGATAACGAAGTTTCAAAAACGATAAGTTTGGAATTCGAACTGATTTTGACGGCACGGCACGACTGCAATGTTCGGAATGAAACAAAAGGTGATGGAAGGGAATACGTTCACTTGCTCAGACTGTGATCAATGAATACCAATCAGACTGCTGATGAGCTGCAGAGAAAAAAAAGGTGGTTGAAAAAACAACCTGTTGAGTATCATGTGAAAGATCGGGTCGTGTTGGAGCAATTCGTGGTGCAGGAAACGACAGCTGACAACAAAGACCGTCCGCAACCTCTTAAAAAACACATAAAATTTTATTCGGGTTTGTCGCAACAACGACTGATTTGTCACAAACCAACAGTAGTCAATTTTCAACACAGATCATGACGACTGCTGCTCTAAAATCAACAAGCAGAATGCTTGTGAAGATTTCATCTTTGGAATGGCACGAACACTCTTTTAAATGACAAAATGAATAATCACATCCTGACGAAATAATTATATCAATTTTAGAAACAAAAACAAATATTGTGGTTGATCTCTAAATAATGACAAGCGATGAAAAATGAAGTCATGAATAAAGAGAAGTTTTAAAATGTGATTAGCGAATGCTAACTGCATGCTGAGGACTCAATTTTTGATGATCATTTCAAGTGATCTTTGGAAATTGTGATTAACATCCACGCAAACTTAATGAAGGAAAATTTATTGCAAAACCAGTAATTTATATCAGTAAAAAGATGAGAATATATCCTTAGAACATATTGAAAAAGAAAGAATGAACTGAAAATAGAGCATTTACCAGAATAGTAGCTAACGAGATCACGAAGAGTAGCGAACGTTCTTCTGGCCGTTATGAAGAAACCTGCATCGCCATCCAACCTTCAAAAATATATGCCAAATTAAAATGAATGAACAGACACAATCAATTAGACATATCATCAGTTCCCCAAATGGTTCAGTTCGCTAGGACGTTCAGTGGCATTGAATTGAATGAATAAAACATGCTATGTGCAAATTTTCTTTCTTCTCCATCATCAACTGAACAAATTGTAAAATATTTTGTAAAAAACTCTAGTCAAGCATCGTTCTTTTCAAACATAGAGGTGGTATTCAATGCAAACAGATCTTTGGTTTTTAGAGCAAAATTTACGCCTCAATTGAAGAACATCAACAAAAAAAAGATTTCACCTTCGTATCTTATAATGTTTGACGGTACCTCCACGTTGATCATCTGAATCGCGAATTGTGAGTGCATATTCCCGAGTATCTGCTTCTCGCTCACGAATCAAAAATGTTCCTTTCGGTAAATTACTGGCTAACACCAATCGTTCAGCTCTGTTTCGAGGGATTCTTCCCGCAAACCATCTGCAATTAAAAGTTACTGATGTGCATTACTACGCGACGGCGATCATCACAACAATACACAGTTTCAAAAATGCAAACAGCCGTACCCTGCTCATGAGCCATGTAATCAGCTAATCACAAAATACAAAACCAAACTTTGTGCAGCACACCAAAAAATAATATAATCAAGCTGAGAGAAATCATTAGAATAAGGCTTCACACTGATCAATGTAATGAATGTAAGCAGTAATCAACTAACTCTTCACTTTCAACGGACTGCTGTTTGCCAACAAAGTTGCGTGGTACATAACCGGTACCACCTTTCGAATGGCGTACATACCACCAGTCCGAATTGCTGAAAGTTTGAACTGCTTTCTGCATCAGCAAAAATGAATTTAGGATACAAAAATATGCTTCAATTTGATGACTGAAAATTCGTATTGAATTTTGATCTCTCATAAATATAATAATAATAATTAATAATAATAATAATAATAACATTCTATTTCATGGATGGATTAATTAAACGACTTTAAAAAATGTGGCACACTGATTCATTTTAATCATAGCAATGAGTGAAAAACTATTCAAAATACAGAAAGTAAACGTTGTCCTATACAGATTTTAGTTTTGACTTATATTAGCTGAACACAAAATTGTTTCTACTCGGTGAACATATGAAAGTTGGTTTCTCTGAGTCGATAAGAATCGAATCAATGAAAAAAAAAAGAACCTCTGATCGAGAAGATACATAACATCGCCTTTTCTGAAGCTAAGATCCCCTTCAGCACGCGATTCATAATCATACAACGCAATCAACACTTCCTTTCCAGTTGTCACGTCTGAATTTCGAAATGAAAACATTGTCGTTCGTGTGTTTCGATGAGGAAATATCACCCCTCGGGGTGGTGGTGGTACAGTATGCATTATTCTCTAGCAAATGCAATCAATTCGTATTCAGAAGTTTAATCCGTAGTCGAAGTTAGTCTCAAATAAAGTAAGTGCATTTGGTTGGCTGATAGATTGATTGATGGTGTTGAATGTTGGGGTGAGATGGATAATGGGGAGTGAAATTGCTTAATAATTAAGTATGTTGAATAGGTGAGTTGAAACAGTATTCGTATTAGTATTTGTTTCGGGTGAAGGTTGTATTGAGAAGAGCAGAATGAACAAATTGCACGGGCGTGTTCTCAATAAAATTAAGGACGAAACACTAATGCAGAAGAAGTTTTATTCATCTAAGCAAATCGAGAACGGATTAATGCAATGTGATGATTATGAATGGTAGTGGATCGATGCAGTGGAAGAGGATAGGGAGTGGAATCGAATGAAACGAAATGACTGAGTTGGGCTGGGTTAGGTGATTGGTGCGATGGCTGAGGAATGATCGTATTAGAAATAAATGGTTGTACGAACGAATTCGTGAAGGACGATAACACATTGTATTATTGTTGGTATAGATTGAAACAGAACGAAACAAACTGTGTGTATTTGGTGAGGGTAATTTGTGATGCATGTGATATAATGGATGGATTATGAGAACGGAATGGGTTATTCGAAAAGGAAACAAGACTTTAAGATAAGATTCGATTCAAGAGATCGTCATCAATCGTCAATTATTCAACCGAAACGATGAAAGGATTGAACGGTATTGTTGAATGAAAAGATAACAATATCGTGTTGCTATTATTATTCGTTTTATTTAATTTCATCACGATACTTGGTCATTTTATTTCACTGAACCTGAGCAACTATTCGTTATTGGTTGTTGCCTGATGTTAAATTTTGAACAGTTTAACAAGAAAGATGATGAATTTAATTTTGTTTATTGTAGATATTAATTGCAATTTTAATTTACTATGTAAATAACTTTGACGCTTATGAACTCTCAAGGTCATTTCTGTTTGATATTTTCTTGGCAAAATCATCAGCAACCTGTGCTCCCACCATCAAACTTTTTCACTGGTGCAAATAAATCATATAATCATCACACAATTGCAACGAAATGTTTGAAAGTTCAACAATAACATTTCACTCACATAATAGTACTTGTAAAGCAACAACTCAACAATATCAATTATCGATCCCGACCTCTTCGAGCTAACATTGCGTACTTCTGCTATTTCACTCATTTAGAAATCTCACTGAACTTCGAAAATAGCAATCATACCACAGCATTCAATCACCCATTTGGACCATATTCCGTACGCGAAATTTGTATAGAAAGTTCGTTTGAGTAGAAGAAAACATGCAAAATTAAATAGGTCACGTAAGAATAATTGTGAGAAATGAAACAGATAATAAATGAGATGGAGAATAGAATAAATGCGAAAAGAAATACTTTCATTGCTGTTTTTGTTTGTTTCAGTCGGAAGATACTTTTTGAAATAACTATGATCCAAACCGTACAGCTGATTTGATGCGTTAGAATAAGTAAACGCGTAAACCAAAATTGAAAAGAAGAGGACGATAAAACGTGAGTCAGAAGGAAACGATATGATAATCCAACAGGGAAGCAACATGGCCACATTAACAGATCATGCATCCGGTTTGACAGTCAAATAATGAACTGTCAACCAGCACCAAATAATTGTCATTAGATACAGACATAGAACAATGTATATATCATTGGTAACGATTATTCATTTCTTGAATACAAAAACAAGTAGAAAGAACGTCAGCGCGAAAATCAAACAAGTCATTTCTCTTATCTGTTGTTTTCTGTTGAGTGAACATTGAAATTGAAAATGGTTGAAATAAGATGTTGATGAAAGCAACAATATATGTGACACTTCAATTCGGGGGTGTTTTTATTTGAATGTAATTGTTAATTTCTTTGGATAAGCTACTATGTCAAATGTAATTTATGAATGTCATTATTTAGAAATCATACTGTTGGAATGAAAAATTATGCATATGTGTGCAGTAAATCAATTCGAATAAACTAACAAATAAATGACAATGATCTGAATTTAAATTAAATCCATTCCGGTGATGAATTTTTTTCATATAAAATTATATGTACAGAAGCAATACAGAAGCTTTCGGTGCTTCAGATGATTTAAGTTGTAAAAGAAAAAACGAGATTAAATTTGAAAAAATGAAATGATGACAGAAAGAACGAATGAAACGATGACTAATCGAATAAACTGTGGAAAGTGAAAGATTCAAAAAGAAGATAACCTTTCTGCTGATTGTGCGTTTCGATCCTTCTTGGCGTTCCGATTTCATTGACGCTTTGTTGTTCCCTTAGCGGTTCGCTAACACCCATTTCAGCTGAGAACCTCGGCGAACTACCCGATCGAGTTGTATTTAACGCAACAGCGGTCATCGACGTGTGGCGCGACCGCGAAAAGCAGTTGCCCATACTCGCTTAGTTTCGATGCACCGTTGCGTTCTGCTATATTCTTGAAAAAAAAANAAAAAAAAACCCGTTAGCATTACTATAATACAAGAATGGAATATTTAGTAAACTGATTTCCACACAAACATTGGTAGTAAAACGTCAAATCCGATTATTGACAACAATTAGTAAAATTATCCTTTGCATGTTACGTTTATTCTGCAACACTAGTGCAATCGTTAGAGATACACAACTGAAGAGAAATCTGTTTTTTCGAAAATGCGAAGAGGTTCGATGAAACAAAGATAATCAAAGAAGCAAATGTCAATACGACTGGTAGAAACCATTGAATGCATCTTAAGCGTAAACACATATGACAAGAATATGAATTCTATGGCAATCTCATAATCAGAGTAGTCCACAATAGCCAAAACCTTCAACCAATAACACCTGCTTACACAAAACCGATCACGCTGTTAAGGGGTTACCATTGCTATAACAATAACAAGCCATCCCGCTGATTAGACGGGCAAGTGGACCGTCGTTCATTTCTCGTCGTAAACTAATCACCCCAATCACCAAGCAGAGAATGGAATGACACTGACAAAATTATAACCAAAGTGAAATACCTATAATATTACTACGTAAATAGTAGCGTAAGTTGCAAAGTTGAATGACTAATAGAGACGTAAATAGTGGTGACGTTTGAATGATTAATAAACGAAAAATGAGTCAAATTCATTGCACCATTAACTATACCAAATTTCAGTTCATTTGAGGAGGACTGATCTAAGCCGGGAACAAAATGACTCAGATTAATGGTTTAACCATTCATATTCATTTAACGCTATTCTTTTGGGAGTGAAATTTTTGCATAACTGAGGAAAACTTCGAGGAATAGAAACTGCTAAATGACAAGTATGACAAATAACTTCATAAAACAGCAATTTAAAAAATCACCTTCACTGACTTCACAACGCTAAAATCATAACGCTAACAACAACAGCATCCGATAATTATGACAATTGCAGTATATTGAACAGAAATGATAATCACTAATAACCGTAATAAAATAAAACAGTCTAAGTAAGTTTTTAAAACAATAACATAAATGAGACAGACGTTCAACAACTTGAAAATCAAATACAGAAATGTAAACACTGCAAAGAAATCAAACGAAACCAATGCTTCACGACAAAAATTCTGCAATGCTCGTTTCATTTTCTTAACCACAAGCAGTACGTCACGCGGCGTTTCATTTGCGTTGCGGTTGATTCGACAGGCTCTGTATGCTCATCTTCTCGTCATTCCTCTTACAGCTTATAGCATATGCACTTTTGTGATATATTTCCGTTCTGATCATTATCTTTCATATCATTGCTACTTGAATGTTGTTCTAATTTGTTTTTCTTTTATTCAAACTGATCATTATTAAAGCAATTAGTAATAGCAGTGAGTTTCGCTGCACTTGCATACACGTTTGGAAGTGTCGGTGGAATGGTCATCGAGGAATGTGTCAGAACAGAGGGGAAGAAGTGAACACATTCCCCTCGGTTTTAGACAACATTGTGGATTCAAGATACAATTGTGTTTATAAGTGAGCCATGAAAGTTCAAAAAATTAGGCATGTGCAAGTATTGCACTTGTGAAACGAAGTGGTACCATGGTACAAAGTGTAAGCCTAAGCCTACACCCGGTGAATTTAAAAAGTATTAACAATAAATTATTTACATAACATCAATCACCTCTCATACTGTCCGAAATAATTACCATTTAATGTTTTAAGCCGATTAGGGAAGCGGGGAGAGGGTTGGTTTAAACACCTCGTAATTAATATTGAAATTAGTCAGCGAATGGAAAGGTGATCAACCTTGTTGTTGAACACCTTTCGTCAGTTTGAATCGCAAGAAGTCTTAATTGTGAGTGTGTTTTGAGTGTTGCTCTTTTTGCATTTAGTAAAACAATAGCGAATTAAAATTTCAGAATTGAACGTGTGAACGAACGTGAATTGAAGGGACTTTTTGAGCGCGTGTCTGTTTCGGATTGTTTTTTTGCGTTAAGGACATCATCCTTATGAACGCAGCGAATTCGTCTTATTTCGACACGCTTTTAGCACATTTTCACACTTTTACGTATGTTATTCGTATTTTACATTTTCCATTTTTGCGTTTACGTGTACTATTCCAAACTTCATCTAAAGAAGAATATTCATATAAGCGCTATTAAAGTCTTGACAACTGATTAGTTTTTGTTTGTTTATCATTGTTTCACTAAATCTTTCATCACCTTCGAACGATATCAAATTCCATTGGTTGCAATCACCGAATTTCTTTTACGAATCATTTTGCACTGCATTGCTGAGAGATTTTTTCCCCTCAAAAGGCAATGAATACGGATTCATGTCGTACATTTGGAAGTTTTGTAAGGAACAATGTAAAGCATCCAATACAATTTAGAGGCAGCCCCAACTTTTTCAAGAAACAAAATCAAGAATTCATCTTAGAGCCTTGGAAAGTGTTACTTAGCGTTACAGACTTAATTACTGACATCGATATGTGATGTTTAGCTTGAAAACTGGCCTTCATTGCTTGAGTCAGGAATGTAGGATGAACTCTGCCAGTGATTTTCGGTATTACTTCAATTGGTTTTGATTTAACGTTTCCGTTTTGAACTTTCATTAAAGTAAAGAGAAAAGATGGTCAGATTGAGCGGTACAGCAGGTAAGTGGTATTGCAATATTTAAAATTGGCAACGAATGACAACGACAAAAAGTTTCAGCAGGAGTTTATAATGGAACGTCGTATAAGAAAGCGAGAACTGCAACCAACGCCTATACCCTTCCAACGGGATTGCCTTGTAAATGAAAATCTATTGGAGCGTTTTGGCCATAGCAAAACTCTTAAGGTAATATGACATGTAGGACAGATCCTACATCAATCATTCTGGTAAGAATCCGTTCGAGAATTCGAACTAATCGTCAAAGGTTGATCGAGATATAGCCATAATTAACGTACCATTACAATGTTTCAGTCGTTGCACAGATCTATCATTTGAAGTGATTTATCATTTTGAAAATATTTATTTTCTTTAAGTTGATCAATTAGTTCATCAGCACTAGTAGGCAGTATGGATGATTTTTGATTTTACTTCTTCGAATGGATATTCCATGCTTCTTTTTCAAAATTTTGATTTTTAAAGAATTAGAAGATATTTTTGTGACACGAACCAACAGTCGTTGCTATGTAACTATACATTGGAACAGTTTTCTTTCCTTCTGAGGGCAATAATTTCGTCGTATTTGTTTTGTTCGCAGCTACTTTTTTGTAGGGTCACGATGGTTGTGTGAATTGTCTTCAGTGGAATCGTTCGGGCACGTAAGTGTTTATGTGTGTTTTTATGAATTCCTTGAATTTTATTTCTATGTTGTGTGCGTACTTGAGCATCTTAAGCGTTTGAGCATCAGAAGTATAATTACTAACTTCAGCGGTGCCGAATAATTTATAAGCAATTCGAGTTGGTATGAAATTGGTGTTTAGTTCGAAAAATTTTCCATTTCAGATTGCTGGCGAGTGGTTCAGATGATATGTACGTTCGAATTTGGAATGCTCAAGGTGGCGCGGTTCATAGCTTCAGCTCTGGTCACATGAACAACATATTTTCAGTGCAGTTCCTGCCGAGTGGAAATGATGAAATAATTATCAGCGCTGCCGGTTGGTTCATTTATATTATCTGAATGATTCAGTGTACATTTGCAATCCTAATTAATTTCACCATTCTCGATTCGTATTCTCAGACCATCAACAAAATTGCTAATCTAGTCTCGACGCTAATTCATCTGTTAACATTTACATAAGTGGATGTGATGCATATAATGGAATTTTTTTTGTCCTTTCTCATGAAACATTTGGACGAGCAATAATCACGGTGCTCTTTTGACGATCACGAAGATTTGGTCGTTATAAAGAAGCATTAATAAACGATGCAATATCGAAGGTGATACGAGTGTTCGTATGCATACGTATACACATGATGATTCACCATTCGTTTGGTGGTCAAGTGGACGTGTTAAACGACTGGCTGTTACACGTGCTGACCCATTACTGTTTTGGTCGGCTGCCGAGGACGGTATCGTGAGGTGTTTATACATTTTTGTTTTTTTTTTGCTAAAAGCTTCACTCTGAGCATTTATTTATTCATTGTAAATGCATTTCAAAAAGCACGATAGTTATTTATTAAGTAACGAGAAGTAATGTTCAGTCATTGCAATTAAAGTCTTTTGATGGATCAATATTAATCCAATAAAAATTTGTAAAAGAACATTCATAAGGATTACACTTGAACGAAGCTTGATATGAAATTGAAGTTTCCTGACTTAAATGATTGTACTGGATCAAAGTATTCATGTTAGAAGACAAAATTGAAGGCAGTACGACGCTCGAACGTCAGACGCATCAACATTAATAAAGTTTAACGGTAAAGAATGTAAATCGTTGGCTGTTAATGAAACACGTCCTGAGATGATTTGTGTTGCGTTGAATGAAGCAGCTGTACCGATTTATGATCGTCGAAATGTTACCACACCGTTACTGACACTTATTCCAGGTTTGAAATGTTTTCAGCTTTGATATTGTACTGGATTAAAACTTAATGATTGCACATCACTGACATCGATTATTTGCAAAAATATGTTGTCATGAATTGATACAATTTTCGATCATTTGCCTGCTCTCTGGCATGCTGCACCTGTAAGAATTAAATTTCATTTTGAGTATTAGTTTGTTTCAGGACACATTCCGATTACAGAGAAACGCTCTCGACATGCTTTAAGATCTTTGTCTGTAACCCATGTTGGATTCAACTCTTTTGGTAATGAATTGATTGTGAACATCGGAGGTGAACAAATCTATATTTTCAATGTGGTTGATGGGTATGTGTTGCTGAATATGTTTTACAATTCACTCAGCTGCTACCGTAGTTGATCTTTCTGTGTGAAGATGAAGATAAGTTGAATGAAGCTTGCTTGAAAGACTGCATCTGTCAGTGTTTTTGAGTTGACGATGTCCTACGAACCAAAAATTTCGTTATCTTGTTCTGTTTTGATTAGAAATTATTTACATTTGGTGCAGATTATCGTGAAAGGCTGATTATTGCAAGATATTTTTTAAAAATAGAGCTGAACTGATTATGAGTGAAATTGAATGAACTCATATTCGTTTTTGCTAGGATTTGTGCTGGTTTCGCAGTGCAACTGAAGAGTGGAATTTTGTAATGTTAATGGACTTGTGAGGATAGGATCACTTAGGAAATATTGTTTATAGAGTGAACGAGCCGGATGCATTGCAGTCACTGAACGGTATTCTGCACAGTGAAACAGTACCGCTGAATGAAGATAATACGGTGCTACCAATTGAGCAACGAACAACTGATCGATTCAAGGCTGCAAGAGAACGTGCTAAAATCAATTTTAATAATAAAGAATTTACGGATGCTATTGATACGTATAGTCACGCAATAGCTGAATGTGAATCACTCTGCGGGTGTTGTTATTTTCATTATCATTATTATTGTTTTATTTGCTGACTAAGTTGTTGTATTACATTATTCCATCAATACTTTTTTAAAAATTGGTCTGAAACGATTGCATCCCGAATAGATAGTGAAAATTGGAAACGAATAACCCAAATATTGTTTTTATTTCAGTAGAGATCCGTCACCGAAGCATCCAAATGCAATGGATTTATGTTTATTACTAAGTAACCGTGGTGCCAGTTATCTTCTACGTGAATGGGAAGGTGACGCGTACGCTTGTTTAATTGATATGATAAGAGCGTTGAAAATTGAACCACGTAATACAAAAGCTCATTATCGTATTGTTAGAGCCTTAATGGAGTTGCAGCAGTTCGATATGGCGAGAAAAATATTGCAAATTTTTAAGGTGTTTTGCTGTTCATTTTCGTTTCGGCTTCTTCTGTTCAAACACCCGCTTTTCTAAACACTTTATGCTTACGTTCGAACAATTTCTGTTGTTGTGTGTACCATATTGGGTTCGATTACTCTTTATGCCTTTTCACCGTGGAAATTCATTTCATTGAATTCGAATGATTTGAATTTCTTTCTTTTTCAAATGAAAAGTCAATTATGTGGATATCTTTATGGGAGAATATAACTGATTTTTTGCAATTGAGAGAATATTTCAAAAAAATTGTTGTCATCTTTAATGCGGTTCGCTTTCATTGAAACAATAAGTGAGTCTGTCTAAAAGGTTATTGATAGACGTGTCATTTCACGTTTATAGGATATATTTGAATTTCATTGAATTGCGTTCTTTGGCCAGGATCGATTCCCTAACGATCGTTCGTGTGAGAATTTGGAGGTGTTATTACGAGGCCAGTCAAGCACCGAAATCGAGTGGAAATCAAGTGGTTGTGGTGATTATGTACAACGGCTCTGTGGTCATTGCAACACGAATACCGATATTAAAGTTTGAATTCTTCACCGATCTATCAACCTTTGGGCATCATTTGCAAATATTTTGAATGCTTCTTAAACTTGTCTTGAGCAACGAAAAGCTTAGATTTTTAGCATTTTTCTTTTTTTTTCATTGCCGTCGTCTTTTTCTTCAAGAACGAATTTTAACATTTTAATGAAACCCACTATTCGGAAAAACTCCCAGACATGACCACTGATATGAAGGAATTGACATAGATATGATTATGTTGTGTAGAAAACAACGTAAGTTCGTAATCAGTGTTTTAAAAAACATTTATCTTCATTTAAAACGACACCCTCAAATCAGCTAATGTCATGACATATGGAAGAGTAATTTCACGCCATGAAATTGTTTACTCGTAATGCCGCGTTGATGTTAACAAAGAAAAAAATGTACATGAATGAAAAGGTCGCATTATGCTTTGAGCAAACAGACAAACTAACAAGATGAGTTGAATGTAAAATGAAGAAATTATATTTAAGGAAGCGGTATGGTTCGGTGGTCGAGATGAGTACATCGCTGCGGGCAGTGATTGTGGTTCACTTCTGATTTGGGAACGCAAATCGGGTGCACTGATCAAAGCATTTGAAGCAGATAAGAATATCTTGAATTGTGTTCAACCTCATCCGTCCAGTTGTCTTCTTGCAACGTCCGGCATTGAACATGTCATTCGATTTTGGCAGCCTTTACCTGAGGTTCATTCATATGTGATGCTTTACTGAATACGTTCTGTACAAATTTTTGTGTGGAATGCTAAAACTCACTTTTTGTCGATAGTACAGCTAGAAGGTGAACGTAAGAGATCGAGCAATGAATTTGTTATTCTTATGAGAAACTGCTCATGAATGAAGCGAAAGGAAGATGTTTGTCATCTAATGGAAAGTAATAAACGAAACAGATGTAACTAGAATTCAAGGAAGGAGTTGAAAATCGACGAGAGAGGCGTGGCTTATCGGCATTATCAGAAGATAATCAAAAGCGTATGCATACGGGAATATTCGAGATGGTTGTCGCGTCATTCGCTCTTGGAGATTTTGGCATAGCGGTGCAGAACGATAATACTGACAACGATGATGATGATCAGGAGGCCGTGTATGGACGACGAATCGGGTGTAATCCTACCTAACGGGTCTTGTTTTTCCCTACTGACTACTCACCTAATGTGTGCTTAATGAACGCAACTGAACAATAATCCGTTGAATTATTGTTTTTGTTTATTTCTTCAACAAATACATATATCTTTTCTGTGAATATACAAAGGCATTTGTATTATTAATTGGTTTGTTTTATTTGAGTGGAGTTTATTTAAAAAGCTGCAATATATGTAAATGATGTATTATTGTTATTTACTGGTTTACTTCAACTTAGTGGTTTTATATTGTTTGGATAAGATATTGAATGTTGTATTGTTCATTTGGAGTATGGTTTTAGTACTAAAATGCGACAGGTGTTCCTTGTCACGGCGATGTTCATCTTTATTTTTCATTAATTTGAATTTTATTCAGTTCAATATATTTGGTGAGTATATTTTGTGATTGTGTCTCTATGCCGAAACTCTTTGTTGTGGTATTTTTTGCAATACTTTATTATTTAACACGATTCACTGTTTTCTTTGTCATTCTTATAGTCTTTTGGTAACAAAATAAAGCGTAAGCAAAAAATACGATGTAAAAATCAACAAGAATGAAGCCTTTTTGTGCACAGTTTTATAACGAGTTTAGCGATAGAAAGAAGAAAGGAAGACAAACTAATTTGTTGTTTCAAATCGTCAGTATTCAGAGGTTTCGAAGTGAAAAAATGAAGCTCACTGATGAAAATCGCATCGTCGGGAATTTATGATTCCAATTTGTGCATAGAATGATGCTTTTAGACGATTAGATGATGAAGATGCGAAGTAAGCTCTGTTCTACCTCTCTATGATTAGCACTGTTATATGTCGAATTTGCTAGCAGTGTTACTTAATTCAGTTCGATTCTTTTCTCTTGCACACGAAACATTCAGACAAATCAATGTGATTATGCGCCTGCATATACTGTAGAAATATTATCTGTATATCACTGTATATGATTTATGAGAGACATTGTTATTACTATTGAAATTAATTTGTTTCAATATGAATCTGTTTCACGCTCACGTGATCGCCTCGTTGTTGTTGTTGTTGCTATACAATAGTTGCATAGAGACGGTCGATTAAAATGAAACTGAAGCCTTACGATTAGTTTTGTTTTGCATGCACTAGGAGGTCGTTTGTTGTTTCATCAAATGCGAAACTATCTTTGATCATCTTATTTCTTTGCAGGATTTCTGATTGGAACATAGAGTTCTCTAATACGAAATCTGAATTGTAATGATCACTTGACACGAGAAGTTGCTGTCCGTGACCAGCTCTTGCTGAGCCTTGTCCGCTTGAAATAGCAGCCTTAAGTTTAAGCTCAAGCTTATTGTTAGTATAAGGCTCAGACTTGAAGAATGTTAAATTAACGTTTGCTTGTGAGATTATTCGCGTTTTCTTAACACGCGTGAGCCATTAAACGCCGTCACAAAAATTGGTAATATATTGAAATGTTTTTAGTTGTTACATCGACGTAGTATTCGTTTGAAATTTATTATTCTCAACTGAATTCGTTAAACCAAAATATGTTCATCTGAATCACCCAAAATCCTCTAATCATTCATCTCAATGCAAAATTATGAATGCATTAATGCTGAATGCCATTTTCAGTTGTATTTGATCGATCAAACTTCACATGAAGCAACGCGCTTCAAATTGAGTCTTCTTTTAGCCAAAACCAACTCGCCTATAAAGGTCTTTTAATTGATTCACTCACTTCAGTAACTCATATTGACATTATGACGTCCATCAGTAAAATATTTTGATAATATTGTTCAATTCATTTAATCGTCTCATGATCATTATTTTAAATTTCTGACGAATGAACTGAAATTCAACGCAACAAATTTTTGTTTGAAAAAGAAAAACAAAAAAGCACGACTACAACTCGATAATTCGTTCAACCCTCTTACTGTGTTCCTTATGATCCTCATCCCAGCGACAAAACCATTGGTCGTATTCAGATGGCTAAATTCAAAAGTGACTGCATTTAGCGTTCAGAAAGCAATGAAGAAAAATAATATCGATTACGCATGATCGTGCATAAGCGATTTAATGCTCGATTTAATCTAAGAAATTTATTTTTATAAATACGATGATTGATTGCTCTTTTACGAAATCTTATGAAACAACACGTGAACGTACTGGCGTTGTTCGATAAATCACATGTGTTGAGCAAATAGCGCGTTTGTAATAGTACTGGCTAGAACAATGCCAACAATTTTCATTATGAATCAGATTAATGAGCGTTTCATTAGATCGGTAACAGGCAATAGGACAAACAAAAAAAAAATCGACTAACTGATTCATAATTACGAATAATAAAACAATATCAGTTGGAATAAAACTGTTTAAGTTCGAACAATTATCACCTGATTTGATCACTTTTATAAGTATAATTCAAATAGAATGTTTAAACAAATGTTTGAAATCTCAACGGATAAATAACAAGAACGATAGCGATCACAATAGTAATAATAGTAACAACACAACATCAATAATAATAACAATAACAGTAATAAAAGCAGTAATATTAAGTACGTTTGGCTACTCGATTTCGCATTAAAAATCATTAAGGATAACAAAATCGGACGCATTAATGGCTCTTTAAGAAATTTACGGAACAGGCTGACTTCATTAATAGATTTATGCAAGAGACTTCATTACGAGATTTATGCAAGAGATTATACGTTGATTGAGCGCTAATATGCTTCAGAACACTGCCTTGAATTGTTGAATTCATCAAGAATTATGTTGAGCGGCTTTCATGTGATTCACGCATAATTTCGTTCATTCACAACATCAATCTAGCAAATCAACAACAGAACATTATTCAACTCATGCAAATAAGTTTGAAAAATGCCTTCAGAATTTACTTCAAAAAGTTGTACATTCTAATCGAATCTCATTACAGGAGACCAAGACAAAATCATAAGAAAAACAATTAACACGGATGAATGAAAGATTAATGAAAAATGCAACAGTGAATAATAAGTAATCTCAATTCAACTCAAACTGCAAATATTATTATGCGTGAAATATTAAAAAAATGACATTAAATCTTATCACATACAAATGCACATTGAAAGGAAACTTTCAGAGATACGTAATTTTCACTTGATAAACGCGAAGTTCTTTTTTTTTGGACATGAGGCAATTTAGTGTAAGGATTTAAAAATTTTATATATGAAATTAGAGGAACACAATTCATCATCCTTATCCTACACTGAAACTTAGCAACAACTTCACCAGTAACATTTTTTGACAGACAGAACTGCTGCTTGAACTTTATTATTGTTCAATTATGATCGGAAATAATTTATCTTTGAATTTTTGAACAATTGCAAATGGTCCTTCAACCCCTTTAAGTTATAAATTTTCAAATAAAGAAAGAAACGAAAACTAAAGATCGAAACGGTGTTCTCGGGAGAGGCATATTCAACCAGACGACATCACAATGATGAAAAAATAACCAAAAATAGATGCTCGATTTATAATAAAGAAATTTTTATAAATAATGGAGGATGGAGTGGAGTTGAATTGATTTAAATGAATTGAAAAACGGTAGAAAACAAAGCGGATTCGATCATGAGAACGGTAAAAACGATAATGATGATGTGTTAAGTAAATCAGTAGTAAATAAACGAGAAAGACTTCTATGTTTCATATATTCGATATTGATAACCCGAGAAAAAAATTGGCATATACATATTATGCACCATATTATATGTGATAATGAAAGATAGGCACAAGAGCTGGCAAAATGAAGTACATCCAAACAATTGAATAAATGAATAAATAAATGAAATTAACAGAAATCATCGAAATGATTCACACGCATTTAATTATACACATGAACCAATCAGCATGACTGAAATCCGTTTCGACGAAGCGATTCACGTGATTCGTTTTCCAACAGATCGACCACTAGATGTGTATAGAGTGGTTTGAGTTGTAAATTTATCAGCTTATAACGCAGTGAAGATAATCCATCCAATTGCCAACGACTTCTTGTTCTCTTCATCAACTTATATCGGCATCTGTTATTGAGTCGATTTGATGGAGGTTTTTTTGGTTTAGTAGAAAATATTTAATTGATTTTTTTCGATAACCAAATAATAATGACTCAAAATATTTGATTTTTTAGATCACTTTAGAAAAGAAAACGGATAAACTTTGCGATATATGCAATGTAATAACGGTAAACAAAAATTCTGTAATTTGGACACCGCTGTGTCACCATAACTGAACTAATTTTCAAACCAACACCGTAAGAAAGTTCAACGCTTATCGTTTATGAATGCTCCAAAAACGAAAAAAAAAAACGACAAATGTGGTTCAATAATTTGCACCACAAAAAAACGAATGAAACAAAAATTTTACAATGATTTTGCCTAGCATATTCAATTGGCCGCATTCAAACACACATAAGTATTATGCTTCTGAATTCATATAAATTTGCAAAAACAACGAAAATTTTATGAAAATAGAGAAGGGATTCACTTGTTCACTGGATTCTCCTTTTCACTCTCATGCTTTATCATTTTATACCGCGCAATTTCTGTTGGATACCTCGAGATTTTATAACCCTTCAACGACACCCTGAAACGACAATCGAACTTCATATAACCAAACAGTCAACTGAATCAACGAAACAGCAACAGCGGTTTTCACGAGTGTGATCATACGTAAAAGGTCATCTTATCCGCCATCCGCGCACATCATTTGAAGGCATCAATCATAAACGGAAGTTGTTGAAAGTGTCAAATATAATCGTCATGGCTTTTTCAAATGTTCATTTTGCCTTTTTTAAAGTTGAATAGATTTGAACGGTAGGATGATGCAAGAGAACACAAGGTATTTAGAGAGAGCAAAAACAAGTACGAACCTCGTAGACAGATCATCATCCTCTCCACCCCAGCCCCAGTAGTCATTTGAAAAACCATTTATCCTTATGAATTGTTCTTTTGTAAGCGCACTGATACCACCAAAAATTGAACCGTACGGTAGTCTTGAAATGCATGAATATCATTCACAAATTATTCAATAAAACACTTTTAAAATAATGCATTCTTATAAAATAATAAAATTTGAAACGTACTTATATTGAAATTTATCCACAGCAACACTCATATGCCTGGGTTGCTCAGGGCATGAATATAAATTGCGATCATCTTCAGGAATTAAATCAACGTCATGAAATATGAAGCATTGCCAGTTGTGTAGCTTGATTGCTTCATTATAACCAACATTCATTAACTTAGCCCTATTGAACGTTTCATTAGATACTTGTTCAACAACAAAAATAGCATAATCTAATTGCTGCTTCATTAATAGAGAATGAAGATTATGTAGAAGCACACGTAAATGTGTTTCACGATCCCTGAAAACCACTACGGCTCATTTCATATTGCTGAATAGATCCTTAAATTACTCATAACAAAGTATTTCGGATTATCATACACCCACGATTGCAAAAAAAGATTATGACGAATCAAAATAATAGCTGTTCGTGAAAAGGAACGTCATAAATTCGTTCATGCAACTTTCCCGCTAATCGGTAATCGATCAGTCATTTTGGTGGTTGAAAGACAACGGCTATCAATAGGAGCACGATAGAGGCTTCTTCAAAAATAATCAGTTAAAAACGACGAACCTGTAAGGAACTATGATGGCGACACGGTGTCTAGCTCGACATCCGGATGGCATTCCATGACCACCTGCTTGTAACTTTGGATACAGTCGTTCGAGATCATCAAATGATGGTGCATCTAGCCAAACAGCAATTGGTCCAACAAGTTTAGGAGGTATCAAAGGACAAAAAGCGAGCCTTTCATCTTGTTTTTCCATCACCAGACCATCGTCCGTAATATTCACTTCAAATTACATCAGTTATTACTCTTTCAATGACCATTTCGATTTCATTTTATGACGACTCACCTGTATGAACAAATAACTGACATGCTCGAAGAACTGTCAATTACTGACTGTTTCTAACAAATAACTGTTATAGGTAAATTCCCATTAAAGTGATGAGGAGAATGATAAAACTCCTTATCAGCTAAAATCTTTCAATTATTTATTAAGTGCTATGCAATTTTACGATGGTAAAAGTAATCAGTGTTGCAGATAAAAGTCAAATGGGTGAAACTGTTACCGAACGAAGTGTTGAGTGATGCTGCGATTGAATAACTGATTGCTTTATCATCAAAGGAATTAAGAATAGACAGAACTGTATCCTTTGACTGACTGAATTTGAGAGAGGAATCGACGACGTTGAAAGCTTTCGGAATTGAGGTGAGCAGTGATGGGCTCCAGAAGTGGTAATCGGGTGATATGAAGCAATCGCTGAGTAGGAAGTGAACCAAGGCAACGCACAATCCCAACAAAACAACCAACTTCAATTTGTTGTTCATCATTGCACCACTCCAGATTTCATCACTGCTCAACAAAATATCGCATTAAAAACGTTCCTTTATAAATAAAGCACCTCTTGTTATTTCTCGAACGTGATCATTCGGTTACCAATATGCTCTCTCTATAAAATGCATCCAAAGTAAACAAATATTTTATTACATGAGTCGATCGTCTGTTTCGTATAAATGACCAAAGATCTGAATTTTCGAACGAAATAACATTTTCAAATTAACTATAAGCCTGCTGGAAATAGGAAACAAACGAAATCAACAGGCGCAACACATATCAGTCAATATGGCAAATGGTTTGAATTAAGATACAGTTCGTAACGTATATCGTATTTCTGAATCATCAAATTTCTTTCTAGTTTCACGCTAATTACCTCGAATGTAATTATCGCCTTACGGCATTTTCTATAGCGTGAACGAGATCAGAAAGTCACGGTGCGCAATGATTTGCGCGTGCTTACTCGATGTGGTGATAGAGCGAGAGGAAATGAATGTAAAACATAATGTCCGCTTCATGCGTTTCATTGTTGATGAATGTAGATATTATCTGAGCAAGTTTTGAAGATGTCATTTTCAGGTTGACGTTAAGTCATCTCTCAGCAAGCATTCTTCTCCACTATTCATCTAATTTGTCATCTCAATTTTTGTTTGAGGGAGATGTTATCAACAAATTTAGATAGCAACATCATCCACCATTCGCATACAGCACGTGATTGTGCCTGAGATGTTTGAACGGGGGTAAATGATGTTGTTGCTGTTTTTGGATGACAATGGATATGTCCAAAAAACAAATGTATGTTAATTACATTCCAATTTTTTACTCTTTCCTGCTTACTGATTTTTTAAACAGGTGGTCATTGAGCATTTTCCTTAAAAAAAAGAACTCCTTCCTATTCCTTGGTGTCGTTCTGCAGAACGTGTTTTTTCCCAAAATGTTGAAGAATAATGTTCTCATATCAACTGGTTCTCACTATTTCGCTGTTAGCAGGAGGCCCTTAAGTTCAGTCGATAGACTGTCGCTTCATGAGGTATCAGTTTTTCGTGCAAATGATGGATGAAGATCCCATAATGATAAATGAGTGAATAATAAATCTGAAGTTGAGATTCAAATTTGAATAATAGTATTATGCTGAATTTGAGGTTTGAAATAAATACTTATAAATGTCCGTTATGTAATGGATGAGGCATTCATCAAGCGGCTATTTATGACACAAATGAATTACCGAAATTGGAGAGTACCCAAACCCTAATGCAGAACTGTATTATATTTGTTGCAATGAAATCTTGTCAACTATTGATGGTATAGTAATAAAGATTATCTAAAATATCTGACTTATTGGCCACATGCACTTGGATAAGCAAACAATGGTGAATGCATTAGATCTAAGTTCAGGCATTTTGTGACGGGGAGACCTGGCAAAGGCAACAGAGCAAGATTGAACTGAAGAAAAGGGGGGATACTGGAAAATACATGCTTTAGGGTGTAACTGCCGACAGACTGGACGGGATTTTAGTGCACCACAGAAACATGTGGAGGCGGTTGATTAAAACCAGCCGTTGCAAGTGTGAACGAAGAACGAGAAGAATGTGGTTGGTTGTATTGAGACGTTTATGTAGAGTTAGTTATGCATAGCGTACACAACCATATGTGTGCATATTAAAACTGTTTCGTATTACATATACAAATGATTGCGAGGATTACAAGCGAGATAAACATTCGAAATATCGGTTATTTATGAAATTGAATGTACAGTATTGAGATTGATTAACAACAAAACAATCCTCTCAGTCAAAACAATCCTCTCAGTCATCCCCTCTAAGTTTAGACAAAACATTTCGTACAGGATGTTATTATTCATGAAGTAGAACATATGAAACACGTTGCACCGTATGTATTTCATTTCATTAATTTCAAACCACGTTGCAACTGATTTGCCTGTGAATATATCTTCACCGTAGTCATTCTTCTCCTCTACTGTTGATCAGTCATCTCTCCATCAAATACAGTACCGCACTTTCCTTTTCTCTGAATGCTCGCTAATGAGCGAATGAGTCTATCGCCGTTGGCAAGTTGTGAACATTCTACGAGTTCATCTTTACACGCGGGTGCATCTTGGCCACATCCGCTCAAATTAGGCTCAGAGTTGTGCATGCTTGAGCTTACGTCCAGTCATGGCAGGGGTTAAAATGTATCCGCACGAGTTTCACTGATCGCCATTGATCTCGCGACCGGTTCAGGAACAACGTCATTCATTCCAAAAATTACATCAGACTGCAAAAAAATTATTACATCAGATCGTAGTTTAACTGATTCTGTTTGAATTCGTGATTTATAGAATTTGTAATTGCAGCTGACGAACTGAGCGATTCGAATTTATGGCCTTGATTTTGATTTAGATTTTCGTCCGACTCTATTTGTTCAGGATTGAGACGGGTACCAGGACAACGTATGGAACGCTGCAAATAGAGAAATCGTGGCTCAGGAAGCGTAATTGTTTGCTCCCCAGAGACAACAAGATAGAATTGCGAACTGAACGAATTTTGATTGGACAATCGATCGATATGTTGCGTTCATGATTACAAGTCAAAATGCATATGTCGCTACTTCTAAGGGATTAAACATTAATGGGGTGGCTTATAAGTTTTTAGAAACGTGTTAAGTTGCGGATGCGGTGCATCTTCACATGATGGCCATTCATGGACATCTTAGAATCTGAATGATGTGCGAGTGTTTATCGTGCTATGATTGATTCTACACTTTATTGAATCAATCATATGTACGGTGTGAATTTTTTCTTTTAATTGCATTGCTTCTGTTTCGTTATTCAATGCCAAACTTACAAAGCTGGCTGAATCAAAATCACTTCAGTTCCTCATAGGTGCTACTCGTCATTGTTTCCTTCTTTCATTGGGTTTTTGTTTTATATCCGGTTTGCAGCTATGTGAACTAATTGTTCGATTTGATGTTATAATGATACTATTCGAATCGCTCTATTAGTCTCATTTAAAATTAATCACTTCAATACCATTATTACAAACTGTTTCTAGCGCACCATCGATCTTATTAATAGCGCGTAAACCTCGACTGAAATATTCATGTGAACATGGTTCTTACCCATTCCCAGTTTTGAGATTATTCCCTAGCATACATTTTTTTCGTGTAAGGTTCTTCTTGTTTTGTTTTATTTTTCTGCTAAAACGTCAATAAACATTTTTCGAAAAATCGATGAATGCGTCATTGTTACTTTACTCTAAAGATCGTCATGCGTCTAGTGCAGAAACATCTCTTGGTCGGTGTTTTAACAGTGCATGTGTTTTTTTTGTTTGAATTGTTGTTGAGAAGCATGTTCTGTTTTGTCGTGCTTTAGTTTGTCTGACTTATATGTGGTTTGTATCGAGTTTATATTGAGATGGTTCAGTATTTTTTACGTTCAGTTATGCTGAAGTAAATGAATAAACTCAGGGCATTTCTCGCTTTTCCATCAACGTTTGCGTTATTTCGATTTAGCAGTCATTTATTGATACGTAAATTACTTGCTGCATGCTCTGTTCTGATATCTATTGGAGTTTCCATACCTACAACCCGTGCTAAAACTGAACTTGATGATACTGTTGCTTTATGTAAGTGTTTATAATTGATTGTTTTAATTCCTGACTCTATTTCCGACACGTTTTACGGCGAGAGATCGGAAGCACTGATATTAGAGCCTTTCCCAGGTTTTTATGATATCAGCCTGGCCAGCAAAATGATTGATTTTGCAATGGCGTCATGCCAATGAAAGTAATCTACTCTTTGTTTTTGTTGTTTCCATTGAATGCCGAATGCCCGGTCATTGATTGAGTGCAATATCATTAGCAAATGCCACCGTTTCACCGAATATTCACTGACAACATGCAATTTCGGACTGTTGTGCAGCTTTCAGCAGTAATTTCTTTGACTGCATTTCAAAACGGTTTCAGATCATCAGTTTTGCATTTGATGATTTCTCTAACAAGCTCCTTGAAATTAAAAGACATCTGATTTTTACACAATTTAACATCGTTACGCTTCATTTTTTTTCAATCACACCTGGTGACACTCGTCATGACATCACGTGTTTCTCATCGTTTATCGTTCTCATATCACCAGTCTTAAACTAATTTACAGTTTATTTCAGTTCAGTTCCATCGACTTCGCTCTAAAATTTTACCTTCTTCGATTCATCTTACAGATGTTATATTTTTCTGTAGGAAAAAAGTTATTCGAAATTATGTTAATAAGTTTTAATAAATCAACAGTGATTAAGTGTGATCAGTGTTGTCGCACAACTCATTCGTCTCATATTCCTTTTAAAAGTTTTCCTCGTATTGCAGCTTAAAAAAGTTGTATAGTTGAACTGAATCAAAACTCATGAATGTATGCTTGACGATCTTAAACCAAATTTGCTTTGTCGTTTAACCGATTATTAATCGAAAATGTTTATGGTAAAATAGGAAATCTAAATTTTGTTCCCATCGATCGGTTTAGCGATATCTCTACTCAAAAGTATTTCGAGGTGATCTTTGTTAGTATTTTCCATTTAGAGAGAATGAGCATTCCAGTGGAAAATTGATTTTTGAAATTATTGAATGTTTTCTTGAAAATTTCATAGGGATTACCTCGAAAGAACTGCTTTCAAATAATTGTTGGCAAATTTTTGTCGTTAATTCATAAAGGATACGATTGATTGTGTTCCAGAGTAGTTTCAGAGTGATGAATACTTATGTTCCGTTCTCAGACTTTGCGATGAAAGGGATCACAGACAGAATATCGTTAATTGAATTGTTTGAGGTGATCGATAAAAGGGAATGGACAAGGGTAGTGAAGAGCAAGATGCGGCGGTAGCATCAAGCTCAGAACCACCAGATGTTAAAGAGACGTCCTTAAAAGATGTCATAACAATACGATCGTCCAATTCATCGAATCGTTCAAAGGCATCATCAGTACCACCTGACACTAATGATAATGCTGCTGCTACTGCTGCCGAAAACAATGATAATAATCCTAATATTGAACGTATTCCTATGAAACTGGTTAGTCCCATTGGTGGTGAAGCTTTCACGTTTTATTGGCCATTACGTGAAGCCGATGAATATAGTGAAGGACTTGAGATTATCGAACTTGTCAAGTTAGTGATTCTTTCTTGTCAGTATTCTAATTGATAAGTTACAATAATATTGTCACTGTCTTAAATTCAACACTGATCAGTCGTCATGCACGCTTTGTATTAATAAGATATTGTTGTATACATCTACTGAACAATTCAATATAGTTTCGTTTTCAAATGGAATTGTTATAGGGAAGCGTTGTCTTCATTTCCCGAAGTGGAATTTGTTGTACATCGTAAGTGCTCAATTAATACAATCGATAAACGCGAGTAAGTACTCATCTCTGTTGTGTTTGTACGGTTTTTTGTTAATCATGTTTAATCTTTAAGATGTTTCAAATCTTATTTTAATCGATGGTTTGATAAATATTGGCTCCTAGAATATCTTTATTCTGTCGAGACGGTTATGAAAAAATATATTGTGAGGAGAACAATAAAAAATAAGAAGGTGCTTCTTCTTTTGACTATTGAGTCCAATAATCGATGTTTTTTCTTTATTCTAGTTTTCAACAAATGAGCGCTCTCTTGGACACATTCAACAAATCAATTGGGACAATATCACATTTGGTTTGCTCTTTTATCCAGAATTAATAAATTAGTTTCCAGATATCCATTTTTAATGTGTTGTTGACCTGAACATTTATTTGCCTACGAGCTGCTTAGTAAACTTAACCAAAGTGGTATAACTATGCATCATGTCGTTAAGTTGAGCTGAACGTGTCAAGTGGACTGAGACGTGTATAGGCATGAAGCAGTGTAAATTTGAGTAGATTGTTAATTGCAGTGGAAAGGTGCGACGAAGCCGGGTGGTGAAATATGGTCAACGGAACGTGCAGATCCGTCGCTGTTGAAGCACATATGTGCTCGTGCTTACAATCGTGCAGTTGATAACGTTCATCTACTCAACAATCACTACAAAGCGTTCTCATCCGAAACCTATGGAGAAACGTCATTCGAACGTATGCAAAGTATTATCGAGGAGATTGTTCCCAAAGTATATTAACCAGTTCATTATTTTCCTATTTGTGTGCGTGCATTCGCCATCTGTAATATCTTGTTTCAGATTCAAAACTATCTCGTTTTGTACGTAACTAATTTTGTAACTATCGCTGATCTTATTTTTGACAATGTTCAATCGTTTTCTATTAGCTGTATTTGAGTAAGGTGAATGTGAAATAATAGGAACGAGATGTGTTCGTTGATCTGGGCAGTGGTGTGGGTCAACTTGTGATTCATATGGCTGGCGGATCGAGAGTGAAGAAGGCAGTTGGCATTGAAATTGCTACGTTACCATGCAAATATGCTGACAATCTCAGTGCTGAATTCAAGAAGTGAGTCTTCTGTTTGCCTGTTACGTCATGCTGACTGTATTGTTATTGATATCATTGAACGATGGGATAATTACGCCTTTGAATTTTGAATGTAATGCGCCAGTTTTGCAGCTCTTTATTCAGTGTATAAAAAGTGATTTTGTGCAGGTGGATGAAATGGTACGGTAAGAAGTTTCGTCCATTTGAACTGTTTGAGGGGGATTTTTTGAGTGAACAGTTCCGCGATTTGATCACCAAAGAGGCAACCATAATTTTCATCAACAACTATGCATTCACTGCAATGCTGGAAAATAGAATTAAGAGGTAATTTATTGCACATTTCTCCTTGTTTTTGCGGTATTACTCTTCATTTATCGTCTATTGTAGTCGTGATGAAACGTTAATAGAATTCAGTTGTCTTGCTGATTCGGAAATAAGTAATGATGAATAATTTGAATTTTAAACATCCTTTTTGATTGGTCGTTATATGAAACAAGTGGAAGTAAATGTTAAAGCATTGGCTCGTTTTAAGCATCTGCTTATCTCAGTTGTTGTGAAATTAGAACGCGCGTTTCTATCCACATGGTTTTTTTGTTCATGTGGTCATCGATTCATTTTAGTTACATTTAGCTATCAGCGATACAGATTTTTCGCTTCATTTCAGAGAACTGTTATCAGAGTTGAAAGATGGTACACGAATAATTTCAACAAAACCGTACGGAACACCGAATCGATCGATCACCAACCGTCAATTGAATGGTACAACATTTTTTTGTGATTTAATCATATTCTGTTTGAAATTTGATTTAATCGATTTGGCATTATAGATATCTCGGCTATATTGGACGTTCACGAGATGGTTGAATGTGAGAACGCATGCTCATGGACAAGCAACTATGTGCCTTATTACCATCACACAATCAATCGAGCGAAGGTTGGCATAATTCAACAAGAATGAGTTGTTACGATGATGCATGTTTATTTCAGCTTGAGAAGTACTTTCTGTCGCAGCGTAATCCCATATTACGTCATGATGGCATTGGATCAGAAGGAAGTCGACGCTCATCAACGTCCAGTAAAACGTCACGTGAAAGTGCACCTGGCTCGTCGAATGCATCTCGTGAATCCAGTGTCTCATTACCACCTCGTCGAAGTAGCACACCAACACGTGCGCTCAGCAACATCAACAACAGTACCCTTCGTAAAAGCCGTACCAACAGTAAGTCACCAAATCCACGTCAACGAGCCTCACCACCGCCGAATCATTCAGATGATGATGATGAGCATGCGTATGTTATTATTTTTAATTTACCTCGATTGTTATGTTTGTTTAGCACAACTTCGAAATTTTGCATCAAAATTCCTAGTTGACGTGAATACAGCTCCGTTGATTTGTTAATCGTTTTGTTTTTATTCTGAATGATGTAATTTTGTTAGCATTGGTCCAACAACGCGTCGTAAATGGCAAGAGTATTGCTCAACGAAGAGTAGTAAAGTTGATAAAACGACGGTACATGCTCATAGCAGTAGTACTGTGACGAGTTCAGAGAATGACCCAGCTGACGTGGTCACCAAATGGCCTACTCCTGATAGCGAATACTTGCCGCCGTCAATTAAGAAAAAGAAGACTGGTGCGGGTAGAGGACGTCCGCGCAAGAATCCCCTTCCATCAAAGGTACTGTTATTGTTTGTTATTTTACGACGTTTTGTTCACTTTTCCACTTTCATCCTTTCACTCATATGAATCAAAATAAGTATAACGTTGGCAAATATAAGATCGTAGCACATCCTATTGAACGATGTCGTATGACATTCGTTTTTTTATCAATATGGAATACGCATGAAAAATTGCAGTGATTTTCGGAATTGTTCGAATGTGTTCGAGTTTTGATTAGCAAACCAACTTAATGGGTGCATTTTAGCCAATTCGTGAAGAAACAAAAGAGGCGATCGATTTGATGCATCAGATGACGCGCACTGCCACAGCACGCCCTACCTCACCAGTTCGTGAATCTTCACTCATCGTCACTGACCTCTCAACAACTGCAGCGACCATACAACAAACTGTAGCGCCTTCTCTGGACGCTGATAATGCAAATCTAACTCATTCCGATACACTTCATTCTAGCAAATATCCGGCACTTAATCTTTTGCTTGGTAATTTACTCTAATCACTTCTTCTTTAAAATGTTTCTGTCAGTTTGATTTTTCGCATAAAAACATATGTATCGATGCTGAGTGCCAATATTCACCCGTGCATTAGAATTTTATTTAGATCTGCTCTGTCTTTGGTCATTATAGTTAGACTAGGAGAGTTTACAAAGATGTTGAGAATACAACAATTAGCGTGATGATGATAAAGACGATTAAATGGTCGTTTCTCACCGCCATTTTTTACGGCTGATAATGAATTAGTCATTGACTGAATTTGTTCAGAATGGCTTCGCAAGTGTTATGAAGCTCACATTGAAGCAATGGCATGCCCGAACTATATGGCCCGTATAACGAGTCAAATTGATGGCTTAAGAGTTAGTTAACCCTTTCTGCTACTCTCATTCGTACTGTACTTGAAAGTATTCATGAAAGCACTCCAATATATGTGAAATTTATAACGTTCGGAGTGTTTATTCGTGAAACGTGATTGTTATGTGCAAAAATGATGCGCTGATATTCGGTTGTGTTCATTTTTGTGTTTGAATGCAAAAATTAATTTAGATGCAACAAGCGTCAATGCACGCACGGATTGATTCGTTGCACAAGCAAATAACGCAGTTATTGGGTAGTGGTGTACGATGTTTACATGCTCGTCTCGATGAGTTGGGCATTGATGCAAATACGCCTTCGTTACTTCTTGAAAGTGCAAAAGACATTGTTGCACGTCATAAAAAGATCACTGTTTGTTCCATTTCATATTTTCTTTTATTACCAGTTCAGTTCGTTTGTAAATGCTTAGATGAAGAAGCCAATATAAATGTTCTGCTGATGATCATTTCTTTGACCATCTGATTATTGACCCACAAATACACAAGCCAATTGCGAAATTCAGGCAGAATGTGCTGCATTGGAGAATGAGATTACCGCATTGGATTTGTCAAATAAGCAAATGGAAGTGCGTAAACGTCGTCGTGAGGAGAGTATGTCGACTGCAAACGTCCCCAACGAACGACCACCGATCTATGCACCATCAATTGCGATCGCTGCCGAAAACTACCAAGCACTTGAGAATCAGAACAAAAATATTATGAATCGTATGGCTGCGCTTGCTGCAAAGGTATGCATATCGTTCCTTTCAATCAGGAGATTAATGTATCAATATTTTAAAGATGGAAGTGTTGCCAAGTGGTGATGGAGTAGCGACGTGTGTTGGTGATGCAACAGCAACGCAAGCACACGACATCTCATCGTCGTGTGCCTCAACCGCATCCGACATAGTGCAGCAGCATACAACACCCAGCACTCTTGCCTGCTATACCACAAATATTGTCAGCAGTCAACCTCAGTCCATCACGTCAGTGTCGAGTACAAGCCAGCAACAACAACAACCGCTCATTACAACTACAAACCCATTGAAACGTGCACGTAGTCGTACGTCACGCAGTGGACCAGCTAATAAACGTCTCATATCAACCAGTGGCAAACTTCCTAATGATCCGAAAGAAGAAGAGGAAATGGAACGCAAAATCCAGGATATTGTTGCGAAAGCACTCGAGGTATCATTATTATTATTATCATTCGTACTATTACCGTTGGTGCCTTCTTTGTGCTGTTTGTCCATGTATGTGTTGCTTGTATTTGTAACTAACAACATTTGAGTGTATTTTATTCATATACTTTTTTATATTAATTGTATGGTCACTGGCCAATAAATGTGTTGGTAAGATTCACTGAAGTAGTTTATTGAATCTTCCTTTGCCGAGTAATATATGATAGCTTCACCTTTGCAATATTCGAAACTCAGTCTTCCAGTCAGCATCCAGTGCCTTTTTGTGGTCAAATGATTACCATTAACATGCTCAACGAAGGTTACGCTGAGTATGATTCGTTGAATATTTGTACCGTCATTCATATAATTGACCTATATGTGTGTTTTATTTCAATCTATTATTTATCAATTTCCATGGAAACGAATGCTGTTCCTTCCAGTGGAGGCCGCTTCACTGATGATGTGAACTTATCTCGAGGTCTAACCGCCATCTGCTTGCATGAGTTGTATTACGAGAAAAGCAGTTTTTCATCCTCACTTACCATCATCCGTCGTTGATTTCTCAATCCATTCATGTCTTCCTCCTATCTTATTATTCATCCTTTCATCTCTAACTCTTGTTGCTTCACTCTTGCCACAATTGAATTTTTATGTTTTTCTTATACTGAGCTTCTCTTTATCATGGCTGCGAACAGTTTTACACATTCTAAGCACTTTATGATTCACAAAATTCACATTTCCTGTGATCTTCTTAATGTCTGCGTGGTTTTTTTAAGGAGTTGAGTTTTTGCAAATATTCAGCTCAATTTATCTCAAACCCTGAAATTCGCTTTGAAATTATTTTTTGAATCATCTCGGTGTGCAACATTAAACGATCATAATATTTAGTATTGAGGCCGTTATTATTTGTATGAACGTAGTTGTTTGATGTTCCAAAATGAATGTTAACTTCTGTGATAATCTCACTGATTGGTTTCTTTGAAGAATTGCGTTTGATTTTCTCATTTCTACTTTAAGGGATGAAAATGAATCAAACATAATTTGATTGAGTCGTTTATTCGCATGTGTTAAATTCATAATATCATACGCTCTCGGTATTGTTCGGTATAGTCATATACAATGAGAAACAATTCTGAACGTATTTCGCATGGGTGAACGAGCATTTTTGATCAAGAGATATATTTCGGTCGAAAATTGATTGATGTTTTGTTGAATTGAACGATGAATTAATTCTTTTTCAGTTTTTCATGGTAAGTTCTCTGATCAGACTTGATATGAGTGATCTTGAAATTGCTATATCCAATTGGCTCAGCCTCATCTCTCTTATTCTTGAAGACGCAAATTGTTGAAATTCAGTGTTGCTTAGAAAAGCTAATTTGAATCGTGTTCTGTTTCATTAGGTGCATTTGTTAATTAATGGCTAATAAACGGTTGAAGTGTTGATATGTTGAACTGTTTCTAGGTGGACAGTGCAGCGAAGTGGGCTGAGAAGGAACGTCGTGCGCGTGGTGAGAAGCGTAAAGATAAGACGAGTGGTAATGCCGTGGCTTCGGCATCTGGAGCAGCACGTCGCACTGATGACACGTTGAGTAGAACGCCAAGTGTGGCTGCATCAGTTTCAGAGGCTTGTGTTTCAGGTGCAACGATGTTGAGCCCATCGAGAACATATGAAGGTGGCAACGTGGTTGGGGGGCAATCGTCGGCTGCAATTATGACGGCATCAGCCGAAGTGGATAGCGCAAGGTCTGATGAAGACTGAATTGAATATTATTTTCATATTGCGTATATTCTATCTACCTTTTATAAGACGCCTTTTGAACATTCAGAGAGGTTATTTGCTTTGTTTCATGGCAAATGCATCATACTACATTGTCGATATGATATTATGTAATTAATATATAATCCTGTCTTTATTGCGGGTAATAATTCTACACAGGCAATAATAACTCTCTTCTTCCTTTCTTTTCAAACACCTCTGATAACTTTCCTTTTCGTTTGCGCGTCGTAACAGCCAGTCATTTCCTTGAACATGTATTCTATAGTGTAAGTTGATGGTAAATGAAGTGCTTTTTTCTATCACCATATTTAAAAGATTACTGTTAATGTTGGAATAGGTTTTGAACATTGTATTTTTAATTTAAGTTGGGATTTCTTATGACCGTCATAATTAGAGGGGATTTTTTTCGGTTGATTCTTGGTTTCTTCAATTTTTAGTTCGCTTGCGGAACGTTTTGCGATGTTTCTTTGGATACTTTTAGCGATCATTCCTTGTACACATTGTTTTCATGGCTCGAACGCGATAAATTGAACAACTGTAGCCGTTAGAGAGCGCGTAGCAGCAACGTGTCACTAGTAATATCCGGTCATCGAGCAATTTACAGATTACATGATCTTTAACTGTCAAATGCCACAAAATATGTTGGTAAATAAGTGTAAGAGGGAGGGACGTTTTGAGTGATTTTCCGGAAAGGTTTAATCGCACCTGCTTTTATGTCATTACAACGGAACGGGTGCTTCCAGGGAAAGACTCTTAATTCCAAAGAGTTGTAGCAGCCATAAACGTACTGTGGGCATGGCTCAGGGAAAGGGATCGATGAGCAATTGCTATGCAATTTGTGAGATGTTACTTCGCAAAGGTCGCTTCACCTACCCGGTGGATAGCTAGGTATGAGTAAGCAAATTTCAGCGTTGAGAACAGATTTGGAACGAGAGATTCAGTAATATCAGAGAAAAATAATCACTGGTGAACAATTTATGCGCTTTGAAGTTCTAAACTTCAATGTTGAAGTCGAATGACGAAGGCTTCAAGTGGATTACGTTGTGCAAACACTGCTAATTGATATTCGAGGATTTTGTCGAGTAACAAGGAAATATTGTCTCGAATACTCGATTGCATATCGACTGATGTTTGCGATTTCATTTGCGTTTGTTATAGTCTGATTGATTGTTTAAAAAATTTCCTCACTGCCAATTCTTATTTTCTCTACCTTAAGTGATCAATGTTCTACCAGCGTTATGTTGTGCATAATCAGCTAATTGATGCGTTTGTTTCGTTCCGAGACTACAGTCGTCTCATACGGTTGTGATCGATTGCTGTATCACTTTATCACATTCTCACTGTTGTTCGTATAATTGCCAAAATTGGAAGAAGTCAACCATGTATATTACCAACGGTTATGTCGAAGTGGAATTATCATTTTAACTGACTCGACTGAACAGCTTTGAAGTTAATGAATCGAGTGGTAGAGTTATTCGCACCAAGACATGCATGCTTACAATTAGGGTAATGTCCTTATCGAATAAATAGCAGTAATAACCTTCTCTGCTCTAATAATCGTTCTGCAATAAGCAGACCATTTGCTGATGTATGAACTGAAGCAGTACAGAAATATCCCAGCAAAGTGTTTTTCGGAGTGGTTTTGCATGTGACGGTAATCAATCGAGGCAGTTAGGTCTGCCTGTAGTTCAAGTGATCGTCTCATTTCGTTTCAAGCGCATTTTAACGTGTTTATTAATTGTTGCCGTTATTCATTTTGCACACACACACACACGCACCCAAAGATGAATCTTTCTTCCTTGTTGATGCTATCCAAACAAAGCTTGAACACAATCATTCACTGTTATGACCTGTTCTCATCGGGTCTCCTCCATCTAATACACCCAACAATCTCAACTGATATGCGCATCCCGAAAATGATTCTTCCCGAGTTCCGTGCCCACTGCCAGGCGTCAGTAATGTATTTTATTTGTTCATTTTATTGTGTTTAAATGTAATGCATCCCGTTGTTCTTTCATCGCCAGTGTTGCTCGTCGTATTAATATAGCGGTCTCTTTCGTTAAGATTAATTGATGACTGTTTCATCTGGCTATATCCCTAATTTTTCATGTTATTTTCGTTCTGTTAATTATGTGCTTTCATGCTTTTGCGCACCTCTTCAAACCGTAATCAGATGATAAATTTTTAGGAATTTTTTTGCTAAATTCCAAAGAAGGAAATAGAAAACTTTCATGCGTTGTGCCTTATTCGATCATTATCTTAATCAGTTAAATTCCGTTCCTCTGTTTTGTTCTGGTGTTATCGATTTCCCTCATTGACGTTAATGACCACATCTGCATTCAACGTTCTCTCGATTCGTTTATCTGATTAATGCTGTGGTCCTGTCATTGGCAAAGTTCAGTAAAATCGTCATTTAATGATGAATCTATTCCGATTTCAAAATATCAGTTTCCCATTACAAAATGGAGTTTATTATCGATAAGAATTTTAAAAATTCGATTTGGATTTTCATCTTTGAATTTGCTAAACAAAATACCTATTGGTTCCAAGGAAAACTTTCTGTAAGCCTATGAGTACAGAATATTCCGGTGTGAAGATATCGGGCCCGTAGCTGGAGCACAAAAATTTGGTTGGCTGCGTTTATAGGGATGCAAACAGTTGACGAAAAAGAGCGGTGATGTCTGCCTTATGAGATAAAATTTGTTGCAATTGAATTCAGCATTTTTGCGTTCCAGTCTCTCAAATTTTTGGAAACGTCGGAAGTTGAGCTTCCTTTGTGGCTACGGGCCTGGACAAGGTACCAGTTAATATTTTGTCTGAGGGCGCTAACGTTAACACTTTCGTTGTACCTCACTGCCACATATGGTATAATTTTTATTGCGTATTGTTCTTGTCGGCCTCAGTGAAGTGTGCTCGTTGTAAATTAAATCAAAACTTGCGATATATATAATTGTTATGATTTTGTTGAAAGTCTTGCACACTTCGTTGATACTCGTTTGGGTGTATATCTTATGGAACACTCGAAGCGAGAACGCGACGTTGATCTCTGTCTGTCCATCCATACGTCTAATAGAGATGGACAAGTGTTGCGGTTAGTCAGTCGCCAAGTTTCGTTTTGTATGATTCAAAGTTAAGCGTTCAGTTTCTTGTTGGGATGCGCTTAGTTGGTGTCTTCTTATTTGTTGTTGTTATTATGAAAGTATGTTTCGTTTTTTTTTTTTTTTTTGCGCAGTTATGAAATGAAAATTGTGTTGTTACATATCAGGTAATATTTGATCGAAATGGAAGCGCACATTCTCATAGATGATTGGTCCTTTAACATTCAATTCATAGACTATTCATCTGATTCTCGTTTACAACATAATTATTTATATATACATATATGTGATTGATGATTGCTAATACGTTTGAATAACGAATGTAAAGGATTGTTTTTGAAGTTATTTTCCAGAAAGAAATAATACATTTGTGTTTAATATTTGTTGATATTTCTTTTTCTGATTTTGAGTTGTCGGTTCAAAGCCGTTGCTGCATTTGCTGAAGTGCAAACTACCGAACTATGTTGATTATTTTCACTGCATACAATTATTTCTATAATCAAACAGCCCTCTTGGTCAGTCCATCCCCTTTCCATGAATAGTTTTTCCCTTCTGTTTTTCGTCGATCGTTGCCGTTCTACTTCATGAATCGTTTGTGATAACGGATATGCCAAATAATTTCGTGAAATTTCTGCTTGAATGTTTATCTTTAGATAAGTTTAATTTTTTCATCATGATAGCGTTAAGAACACTCCTTTTCGATTAATTGAATCCATTTGCGTATTTTCTAATGTGAGATTCTCAATCGGATGAGCGTATCATCCACTGGAAATTGATCGTATTTCCGAGGTTGTCCAGTGCCTTTAGTTGATCTATCCATTGACTGCTATCGATATATGGATATATCTGAGCGATGACAATAAAAATCGTCTCCGGGAAGCATGCCTATTGAAAGAGATCGCTTGTCGTAGTTCATGTCCACGTCAAAACATCTTAATCCAAATTTTCTTGCTGTTTCTGCATAAAATTCTCCATCAAAAACACATTTTATTTTCCTTATCTTTAATGTTGACGATCCTCAATTTTTGAATTGTTCGGTCTTACTGATGTAACTTCAAGAAAATATTTCCATAATTAATATAGTAGGTTTGATATGTCTAGTTGATGATTCTTGAACGGGTAATTATTCATTGTTCTGTCGATGGTTACCAGCAACGATTTTGACTGGAGTTATTCGTAAAAAATCACACACAGCAAAACGACAAAATGCAGTTGAGCTATTTGTGAATGTGTTGGATTGGTTTTCCGATGAGATTTACAATTGATAAGGCATATTTTGCTACAGTTTGGATTCATAACAGCTCTGTTTGATGCGCCACAAGAAGTGCGTTCAGTTATGTATTCTAATCATGCGTAGTTGTATGTTATTGATTGCTTCATGCCAAATGTTCCAAACGTTTACGCTTTTCGAATTCACTTATTCATTCTTATGGTTTGTTTGCATTTTGATACTTACTCGGAAATAGGATGCTGGCGAAGAGTATGTGATTTGGGGATAGGATGAGTTGAAGTTTTTTCACTGAAATGGTTTAGTTTAAGGCTTATATGCAATCAGGATGGAAGGATTTGAGATAAAATTAATACACCGGATTACAGTTTAAAATTTTGCATATCACAATGGAAAAAATCTGCCAAATTGATCCAATCTGAGTGTGTTTTGTAAGGATTAAATGACAGCTGGAAAGCTTCATGGCTGTGTAGCTGTTGGTATCAGAAAATATCACTGATGAGATGTGCATCGATCGATATGCTTGGGTGGCCAGCCGTGTTTGTGATGTGAGGAATTGGAGGGAAGCAACCATTCAGTGATGTCCACAGGAATGAAGTGAATGTCAGTCAGCGTTTGTATTGGTGATTTTTTCTTGCGGGGAGATCATTGTAGCTCCTATATGATCAGAATACTCTAACAACCAAAAAAACATGCTCATTCGGATGAATTTGATTGGCATCAATCTGTTCATTTGAACTAAGTAAAGCACTTGAGAAATGAAAATTTGAATGGTTTGAAATTAACCTCGTTAAGAAACTAAAATGTATCTTTTAATTTTTGTTTAATTTATGCGGGCTTCAATTAGTTTGTATAGCCGGTAACTAATGATTTCATTTTGCTCCATCCTATCACTAGTTGTTTTCTATCTGATATTCCGCTGTCAGCGTCTTCTTTGATATACTTCTCCCATCTTTCATCCCATTTCACTTCTCCTATTTTGAATTCACAACAGCAGTCTCAACTCACCCGAAATTATTCTAGAGGGTTTTTCATCTCTCTAGTGAAATGAACAAAAAAAGATTGTGTGGAAGTTGAGATAATATATGCAGTCAGAATGATCGGTTTCTTTCGATCAAAGAAAGCTTGACCATAGTACAACTTCGTTTGCATGAATCAAATCTCTGATTAATGAATGAGGATTAGCAGACTTGTATATTTAGTTGATATTGCAATGTGATTGCTTGTCGGAAAGGTTTTTTGAGTGTTTCACATGTAGTTGCGTGAGATTCGACGCTCTAGATCATGAAGCTGTTTGATGCCTTTCAGTTGTTTTTCCTTCCCAATTATTCAGTGATCAATAAACAACAAGTTTCCTTAAAATCAATTACCGTCAGATCATGTCGTTTTATCGATTAACTTTGTGAGCACTCTTAGTACATGTGTTGTGTATTGCTCATTCAGGTTTCCATTTACTGTATGATAATTGCTGATGATCTGTAACAATTTGTGCGTGATTTTGTTCAATAAACCTCACTTGATTGTTTTATAAAAATCTTGATAATAAACTAAAACTATGGTTGTATTTGCATTTATTTAGCTTTGATATATGAATTCAACAAGCACTGAAACGTAAAGTGGACGATCAGAGCAATGATACAAATTTGATTCGTTCGACGATGTCATTCATTCATTACGTTTCGTTTCAAACTTCACATACAAATCTTTGTTAAGCGTTGCTATCTCTTTTCGTTGAGTCGAGTGACTATCAGTCAGGTTGAAAGATTCGAGAATCGGTTCTTTACTTTGATGGTTACGAATTGGCGTTTTCAGTCGGCATTATTTATCGGATTGGTTAATGCTCATGTTAACCACTCGATTTGTTCGCAGATCGACACTTTCTTTGCTTATCCTTTCGTAGATATTCAACCAATGGTTTTGGTGTTACTTCGAGTTGTTTGATATTGAGTAGAATAATTGGTCCAAAATCTTTCTATTCTGTTGACCAGTGAAGCATAAACTATTATTTTAATTATGATTGAATTGGGAGTAAATAAGTCGGAAAATTTTTTTGTCATCGGCCAACAGCCGTGAAATGAAATCTTGTTTCAGTCGGATTTGATGTGTAGATCTTGTTAGCGGGATTGATTTGGTGAATGTATTGCTCCATTCGAATTATGCAAAACGACCGACGTTTTGATTTGTTTATTCGAATTCTTTAATTAGTGTGTCAATTGTTTGCGTCAATTGTTAACCGTATAATTTTCTCCAGTAAATCAATCGACAGCATTTCATTCGAGCGATCATTGCAGTATTTTGATCTTTCTTTTGAGCCTAAGATTTTCATACCTAACATTCGCACTTTAAATTCCAATTGCAGTACTTTTCATTCATTCATTTTCAAGTCATTTCTTTGTCTGGTATCTTCAGTTCGTTAATTTTCTATTCCATAATTCCTACTGCTAATTGTTCAACAGTTACCAAAAATTACTTGTGATCGTAGCAAAATTCAGTTCGTTGAGTTTTTTCTACGATTGCTGATTGATCATGTCATGTGCTTTCATTTTTATGAATTCAATTTTATTCAGTATCGTTCCTATGAAATGTTTCGTTTTTATTGTTTCAGTAAACACTCAATGAAGAAGTGATTAAATGATGGAGATCGGTACCAACGAACTAACACGGCCTTTTCGAATTCCACGTCGGAAAACCGGTGAAGAGACATTGAAAGAAAGTGACGATAAGGTAGAATTTTGATTGATCTTGTTTTCTGTTGTTGGAGTTGCTTTTATTTGTGTGGTGTGTGTTATCTTGAAAATGAACTCATTCCGTTATAATCTGCTGTAAGCATCAAATGCGACCACTCGAGTCGATCGAGGAAGTCTTTCTATAGGCAGTCGATTTTTTTTGACATCCTCACAATGCATTCGCTTCAATCCAATGGTCTGCCCGCGTGTCTTCGATTTAAAAAATTGTTGACTTTGTTTCGGTTAAATATTTTTTTCGGATTGTTAGAAAATACCTTCAGAAATCTTAATTTTTGCCTGCAATGTTGCACCACTGCTATATTATTTTGATTCCTTGTAACGAATACGCTTTTATGAATCATTAGTTGTTTTGCCTATTGTGATGATTTGAAAGCGTTTACTCATAGCTCATGACGCTTCATCGTCCTAACTGGTTCATCATATTATTCTTATTGTTCACTCAGGTTTCTTTAGGTTGTTACTGAATAAGTCAAATCGCTCAGATATGAAAAACAAATAACAAGAAATTCTATGTATAACTTCGCTGCAACCAAGTAGAGCGCAGAGAACTTTTAAATTATTATGAAGTTTCGAATGCCCTGAATATATTTCAGTTATGTGACATGTTTAGTTGTGAATGAATACGCTTCTGTAACATGTGCCCGTAAAAGAACTTTATGACCTCTCCGAAATGAAGTGAATCATTCGCCATACCTTTTGTTGTTTTCAGTCAAAGCGGAAACGTGGAGCTGGTGACTCAGATCTGCGATCACCATTAATTGCGAGCGCTAGTACACGCAAAAATGATTCTACTTTTTCAAGCCGAATCGTGCCACCAACCAAAAGAAAGTATGCACTTTGATTCGTTTCAATGAGAAGAGAACGTTCCCTATGAATGCAATTCATTGCATGAGTGATGTCCCAAATGAAGCAATTTGGTTTGTTGAAAAACAAATATATGAAGGAAATCTGCCTCTCATTAATTTGTATCCTAATAAGGTTCTCATAAACTGATGCGTTTCATTCCGATTTTGAATAATTTGCAATTTAGTTAATTTCACTGCCTCTCCCTGTTGAACAGTCCATATAATGTTTCGATTATATCTTATCTATCACGCTCACTCACCTAATAATCATTGAAATGGTTTTTCGTCATCAGGTGATTAAATTTGCTGGAGATTGCTTTTTCTTCATTATTGAATTGTCACATGTGTGTTCACTAGATTGAATTCTAGGTATCAGAATTTATGACGTTTTCTAGTTCTCGTAGGTATAATTGATATGAAATACGGAAAATCGTTTAAGAGCATCACAAGAACATCGTGGGACTGCTGTAAAAAAGAATGCAGCTAAACTTCCATCGAGCGGTGGTGAAGTATTTGATAAGATTCTCGGTAGTATGGTTAATCCACCTAAGGAACGGAAACCAGATGTACCAAGTGAGTATATTCTTTTTTTTTATAGCTAAGCTGAAATAGTCCATTAGAACGTACTATGTTCAGATAACTTGTTCTGTTGAAATACAGCTTTAACTAAAGCCGTAAAGCGTTTTAGAATGATAATAATTGTTTTTGATTCGTTTATTTAATCAGCAAATCCGACTCATTACGAGTTTTGTCTCTCTGTTATCTCCAGTTTCACTGATATCACATTCTTCCCTCCGCGCAGCTAACGATAATAGTGTTGGGAATCATCTGTCTTCATGAAATTCGAACTTGAATTAATGATTTGGCAAGCACAGAGGTTTTGGGCGACTTTCCCATATTGCCCAATGATTTCTAGGGAGAGGGACTCAAAAGGAGCTCGAAAATACATTCTGATTGATCGGTTGAATATCCATCGATCAATCGTTTAGAGTAGCTGTTTGGAACAATCAGCAATGTTTCGGTATCATTAATAAACAATTAATGTAACCGAGTAGATCCGTAGCAATCGGCGTATCAAACATTCCATAACCAAGCAATAGCGAATGCCCGTTGCCATAGATAGTTTGCGTAATTAAATACAGCTGAATATCGTTAAATAATTGCAACAATGAAGAACATTTTACCGATCGCATAGAGCGATCGGTAAACCAACCGTTCATTGTCCAAACAACAACAAACTCCCAACTGTTTTTGATTAGGTACTTGAAATACTATTCTTGAATGTGCCAGCCTATCTTACTGAAAATTGGTCGCCTGTTTGGACAAAATAATCATCAAAGATCGCTTCGTTAGGGTCACTGGGTGAAAAAAATGTTGAAGATGATTTAAGCGGATTGTTCGCTTTCAGAGATAGTCTTCATCTTCTGTAGAAATTGTTTTTGGTAATGAACAATACAAAAAAAATTTTCGTTGTTGACGTTACTTTGAAAGGTTTTTGAAAGTTGCTTGAGTTGATAATTGGGGTGTTGAAATTTGTGGTGAATGCGTGCACTAACTCAGGTACATTCTTGCTATTTTTTAATTGTCCGATCGTTTGGTTCTTGTTGATTGATCACATGATTTACTTAAGAAGAAAGAGACGAACCTGGTCCAAGTGGTACTAGTGCGCAGACTCGACAACAACAGCAACAGCAGCGTGGTGGTATTCGACAGTTGACTCGAGAGGAACTGGAACGGCAACATGTCGACAATTCGGCATGCTATGCATTCTTACGTAAAGATGGTCTCATGGAACGTCTATTAGGTCATAAGATGCTGACTGGACGTGTTGATTCTCATATTGCTTTAGGCTATCTTCCGTTCGATCCGAACGAACAAGCTCCATCAAGAAAAGCGAATTATGTGAGTGGTAGTAGTTAACTGCCTGAAATTTTTAGTTTTTTTCCCGTAGTTGCGAGTTAAAATTATTGGTTAATTGAACGCTTTTGATAGAACCTAATTTGTTATTAATTGTTGTGGTATATAAAATTAACAATGAACTGAAGCCATTTATCAAAAATTATTGTATTTAGAAGTATGTAGTCAATGGTTTTCCTCCTGTATATACGTGTATAATATATAATTAGAAATGCTTCACCTAAGTTTGTTTTTTTCTCTATTTTTGAGCGTTGCTGTCATGATATTTCGTTATTTCAGGCGAGTAGCAGTGCATTCGAGGAATTTCCAAAGATATGTGAACCCCCACCAGTTGCGGTAGCAGCCGAAGAACGAAGAGGTCCACGGACTCCACCTGGTTCGCCAGGTCGTGAAGATAATTCTTCATTGATGACCTCTCGAGGTGCTGCCTCAGCATCACCGTCAAGTCCACCGCCTCCACCACCTCCTGAAGAAATTACTGTTAGTTTTGATTGTGTCTTGAACAGTATCATTTCTGGTTGATATTGATTCAACTGAACTAGTTCATATATATATACTTAAGTTGAACTACATTCTGCAAATGAATCATCCCATTCACTGTCGATACATTTCTTATTATTTTCGTATCTTCACAATTATTGATTCGGGTCTATCTATTCTTAACTGTCTTCTTGGTCGGATTTAAGGACACAAGATTTATAATTTAAGGATGCAAAGAAAGCAGTTGATGATTCATCGAATCTCATCGCCGAGATGGCTGAGTTAACTAAGCTTCCACATAGTCAACTAGCCGAATGTTTAGGTGAAGAACTGCAGAATGCTATGAAACAGGTTGGTCTGCACTACACTCCATATTCTCATTCTTAATTGCACGTTTTTAACAGTTCGAATGATAACTTTCAAGAACCTCTTGACGGTAATTTAATGTTCACTATTTCTGCGCATTTTCACTATCTCTGCGCACACTCCTCTATTTCGGATTCATTGCTGTTATTCGCAGTATTTCATTTGGAGGCTTTTCGTTCATGTCATCAAGCTTATCGTTAACATTTTTAAGTTGATCTAGTTCAAAGTAAGTGATGTGCTGAACGAAGTAGCATTTTTGTTTTTGGTAATTGCCTATGTATGTTATGAGTATAATCATTAGTGGTTTTCGCAGGATGTTTCTGTATTTTGCATGATTTGTTTGTTCGTCAGTTTAATACGGTCACTTCCAATGTTATCCTAAATCGCTTTGTAACTTTCTTAGGTCGATCAAGCAGTACTACTGAGCACACTGAAGGATGCCCTCATAAAAGTTGGTAAAAAGAATGCATCGGAAATGGAAAGGTATACTTATTATTCTTATCGTTGCCATATAGTAATGTTAATTTTTGTTAATATTTTCCTCATTGGTTTCAATTGAGTGGAATTATCCATTCAGCATCATAATGAGAGTTGTATATCAATCGAATTTTGATTCTTAACAATAAGCTGATAAAATTCGAATGGTCGTCTTAAAAAATTATTCCGTAGAACTGACCCGTGTTGACTGATTGTGAAGAAATTACATGCAACATTCTGAGTGATATTTACGCTCATATTATAAAGATTTGTAGTGGAATTATGAGAGGTTATTGTTTTTGTATCTGTTATAAGCTTTAATTTTCGATCGAAATTTCAGTTCTCAACTATCACAAGCAATTCAAGATGGAAGTACCAAATTACTAGCAATGCAACAACAGCAACAACATATGCAAAATGCAGTTGATATTTCATCACCAGCGGTTGAAATGGACATAGAAAGTGACCGGAGTGATAATGATAATGAAATGATCAGTGATCAAGTGCAAGTTCTTCCGCCGCCTCCCCCAGCACCCTCAACACCACCACATCAATCTGTTGTACATTTACTAATCAGTGGTGCTAATGCGATCCCTTCGCAAACACCGCCAACTGTAAACATTATACCAACACCGCGTTGTATCCTGCCCACACCACCCCCTCCTCCGCCAGTTGTGTTGCAACCTGCACCCCCGCCACCTGTTATACCAACAACATCCACTACTCTACCAGTACCACAACCACCTTCGATTTCATTAGTGAATACAGGCTTGGTAAATACAGCCCCTGTTTCAACAACACCGATCTTGATAAGTTCCTTCAATACACCTCCACCGATTCCATTTGTTGCATCGAACCAACAGTCCTCATTGAATAGCACACCCAGTCTTCATCAAGATACAAGCACTCTGTTTTGTGGTGGTGCTGTGGGTGTTTCATCGTCAGTATCAAACGTTGTTACTGCAGCGTCATTGTTACATACCACCACAAGCGCTCAATTAACTTCGTTCACTACGCCACCTCCTCCAGCTATGCCCAATACTGCATTACCCCCTCCAGTTACACCGTTCATCACAGCTAGTTTACCTCGTTTACCTGTATGTCCCAGTGAAATTGCCAGTCCTACACCAAATATTGCATCTGCAATCAGTGTATCTGGTGCATCTGTTGGTGTGCAGCAGTCCGAATCCTCAGCGACATTGTTAATTGCTCCGTCAATACCTCCTTTGCATACTTCTCCATTATTGGCATCTGTGCCAGTGAATAATCTACCAAACACACCAGTTAAATTCACACCATCATTGCAGCAACAACAAACAGTTCCTGTATCATCCTCATCTAGTCAACCACAAGCACAATCATCCGAAGAGACAAAACCAATACGAATGCCTCTTTTAACAACACCAGTTGATTTCTCTAAGCCACCACCTCTGTCCAGTGCTACAGCACAACTGACGGCATCCAACGTGCACACTTCACCGAATTGTCAGTCAATTTTTCAGCAAACATTCAACGTTCCTCCACCAGTTAAAACTCCGTCATCCTCATGTGCTCCTGTCAAAGAACCTGTCTTCCCGTCATCTTCTCATCCAACTTTCTCACGTCCGAATGGCGATGCCAAACGATCATTCAATGAAAGTGTAAGCCCTATGAAGCCAAGAATGTCATCAGTTGCGAAAGAAACCTTCGTCGCATCGTCACCTTACAAGGAACATTTTGTGCGTTCAGAACGTCGACCGTTAGTATCGACTCCTCCGGTGCAGCAGTCGTCACCATCAGCACAGCGGCAGTCAGTAATTGTTGCCGAGCAAAGTCAGTCAACACCAACCTCTCAAAATGTTATTCGAACTCTGATGTCCGCTTTAGCAATACCAACCTCATCATCAAATACCATCACCAACAATAAATCAATGCTCCCATCAAATACAATTTCAAATCCATCTGTTTGTACTGCAGCAGTAATTGATATTAGTCAGCCACCACCGGGTGGCTCTATCGTTAATTCTCGTTCTGATTCACCAGTACTGCTAGATCGTTACGGATGTCCACTGCCTGTACCAGCGAAACGATCTGCTCTTATTGATCGAGTGCAGCCACATACCACGATGATGGGAAATGTGCTATCATCATCTAATTCAGAAGGCTTTCCATCTAGATCTGATATGGTTGCCCTGCGTAAGCCACCTACAGATGTGAAAACTGAAGAAGAAGATGCAGAACTGGTAGATTTCAGTTGGCCGCCGGCAAATATTGAGGATCAACAACGACTGAAATCAAATGGTACTCATAACGAACACGCAGCACAATTACAGGCGCAGCAAAAACAGGTGCATTCAAGACTCAACTCTGCATCGAAATCATCTGCACAACGAGCCGGCACGAGTGTATCTGCTTTCAATGAACACACCTCTGCAGCACAGTTTCATAAGCAAAGGAATACAAATGCACATCATCCACATCCACCAAATAACGATATACCAAATAGACCATTATCACTGATCAGAAACCCACCTGCAGTTGTTCGAATGCCACCGCCATTCGGAATGCCACCACCGTTCAGAATGCGTGCGCATCCACCGTTTCCTCTACGAAGGCCACCACCACCAGCATCATTTGCTCATCGTGTACAAGCCAGTGGTGGTCGTGCGATGAGGCCAACGTTTCGTCGGTAGTAATTTTCAGCTTGTTGCATATTTATGAATGCTTACTGTTGTTAACGATTTGACTGAGTTAACTTCAATTGTTTACGTTATGCAGTTTTGTTACTATTCAATTATATACATCCACATCTACTAACCGCTAGTATTCTCGTCAAGCGGGTTCATCATTGTAGGCAGTTAACATGCTAACGGGTGCTTTTTAGCACATCTTTTCATTAACAGTATCCATACCACATCATTTGTTCTCATTATGATCGCATGCAAACATTTTCACAGTTCATGCTTTTTACATTCTCAACAATGCTCCTTTAGGTTGCTTTCGTTTACTATTGTTGAAACATCTTTTGTGCCTAACTGTGCGGTTCGTTCAATATTTTGCGTTATTTTATGCTTCATGTTCATGAGCAAACGGAACTCTTCTAAACGTATATTTGATCATCTCTCAATTGAACACTTAGCCGCTCATCCGAATGAAAAGATTATTATCAAGTTGTTTTGAAAAGTAATCTTCAGGTCTTCAGATTTCGTATAAAATGTAATGTAAGCAACAGATGTGCGATTTGAATTCAGCGCATATTGTTTCAGCATCTCCCATGCGAAAAGTAGTCGTTTAGTGCTGATTCTTTGCATCATTGTTTCGTTTTCTCATTGTATGAATAAGCATTGTGTGTATTTCTATTCACTGATGATGTACCCGCTTCTTTTCCGGGTTGTATTACCATTAATTTATTGTTCGTGAGATTTCATTGATCAATGCTGAATCTTCGAGTACTTATTACTATTTTCCTTTCGAATTTTGTTTGTTTTCAAAATAACTTTTTTCAATTGTTCATCCCTAACATTGTTTCATATCAGTTTTATTCTTCTGTGTTGTAAACTATTTACCATATCTCTCTCCAACATACACCCAAAAAACCACTACTTCGTTTTTCAGAAGTTCAGTATGTGGAAATTCATAGTTTGAGATGTTTTTTTTAATTGAGGTAATCAACTGACTGAAGAGGTTAACTGCTATATGTAATGAATGTAAATAACATCGTCCCTTGCTGATATTTTTTTTTTTTTGAGACGTTCACTCAAAAATTGGTTCATGCTGTAGCGTTATGTTGTTAGTTTGCTTTTAGTATTGGTTTTGCTTCCTATTTTGAATCGACTTTTTAAAATTTGGTTCATTTTTTCTCTCTTACTGTATGTGATATAAATTGTTGGCTACGTTTGATCAAACGAACATTGAGAGACGTCATAATCTACATCTATTGTTTAATGTTTCCGCAGTGTCGCTTAAGAATAAAAGAAACCAGAAAATGTGCAATCGTCCCTCCTTCCGCAAGATGAACAATACTGGAAACGTTACAACCTTCGACGAGGCCCATTAAGTGAATGTTTCGTTTGCAATGAAATACGATTTCATCAACACTGGAAACGGTTTGTAGCAGTAAAGATCAGCAATATTTTGTGGGTTCTTTAAGCAATATTCTCATTCTTCACCTTCTATGGCGGGAAGCATTGATTCATGCAATAATTAATCTTTAGTTGAGAGCTGTCTTCCGGACGATCCATTGTGGCAAACGCCTTCGTAAGTCCTTAGCATAGTGGTTCTTACGCTCGGGAGCTCCATTACCCCTTTTGATGATCTGGCAGGCCACCGTTGCTCCCTTCCCCCCTCTCTGATACAAGAACTTACTGTCTCTACAGATAACGTCAGGAGCAAACGAAAAACCGATCCTAAAATTTCTCAGCGGCGTGAAAGAAATTAGTTCTCTGTAATCAAACAACTCTTTTTAGAACTTTACTTATCCACTGCAGAAACAATATGGAGCTCGGCAATCAAAAACGAAAAATCATTCATCCCAATCATAAGTATGGAAAATAATTTTTGCTGTAGAATCCCAAAGCAAAATGACCACATGGTACACATTTGTCATAAAACAGATGCCTATGACACGATTGAGCAGTTATTTCATCACAGTGGCGCTTCATCATAACTAACAATTGCACGAAATACTACTTTTCCGATTCATTATGAATTCGGCTCCAAGCTAGTGATATAAGTGATATCAAAAAATGAGAAAAAAAAACATTCAAACTGAGATCGAGAGAACAAAATTCGAGGTAATATGGGAACTGATCAATAAGGACACATGATGGCAGTAAATACGAAGATATACAGTGAAACAATAGGTGCTTCGATTTGATCAATAATAAAGTACACATGAAACATCAAGTACACAGGACAAATTTATGAACAAATTGAATGACAGAATGATCATCAGCGAATATATCACTTCTTGCCCCTTCCTTTGCCGGCCTTCTTAG